GGGAACACACATACCTCGTAGTAAGCCAGCAGCCCAGCCTCCTTTGTGTAAGGTCCAGCAGGCCCAGGTCCCGATGTTGGTGCCCCAAGAGCTGTGTTAGATGGGTTCTGCAGGATGAAGTTATGTCCATAGGTGGGGAATCCAACAAGGAGCTTCTCAGCTGGGGCACCATTGCTCTTCCAGTAGTTCATAGCATAATCCTATAAAAAAAGCATCACAGTTCAAGCCTGTGCCAGGATTTGTAGGCAGGACGGTGAGTTCTTAAAGTTCTCATCAGTGGTGTGATCACAGTGATCTGTGGGACAGACTCCCAAACTGTACTTACAACACTGAGGTAGGCATTGCCATCACTGTACAGCGGGCTGTTCTCCCCAGTCTTTCCATCCCAGGAGCTATAGAAGTCATAAGTCATCACATGGAAGTAGTCCAGGTACCTGTGGAGACCATTGCATGTGTCTATGTCCTGGCCAGCTCACTCACCCAGACCTGGATGTTCTTTTAGTCCTGGTCACCGATCCCCCAACATCCCTGGCTGTGCCCCCACTATCTGCAGATCAACATTTCTCCAAGGCCTCTTTGGGAAAAGCCTTCTAAAGGTAGGGACAAGTCTCTCCTCCTGCATAAAGCGTGGGGGCTCTGCAGGCAGTGGGGTTGGTTTCTGCCAGCTAATGTCAGAGCATCCCATAACTGCTGGAAGGGAGAGCGCTGGAAGGAATGGCCTGAAGGAGGTCACAGAAGGTGTACCTGGGGGCTTGCTACTCACTTGCCGAGCTCAGCGATCTCGTAGCCAGACTGGATGTTGGAAAGTCCTGCAGCAACAGCAGCCGTGATCATCAGACGGGGCTTGTTAACCTGCCTGGCTTCCTGCTCGAAGGCTGCCAGCATTTCCTGGGGGATGCCAAGGAACAGGGCTGAGCGTGGGCTCCTGGAGCTACCCAGGGCTCCTCTGGACCAGGCTGTGCAGAGCAGAGGCCTTGAGCAGCCCCTTTGTGTCCCCCTACCTTCACCAGGACAGTGAAGAGACCCTTGTCCTGAGCCGGGCTGCCCCTGGAGCCAGGGTACTCCCAGTCGAGGTCCAGCCCATCAAACTGGTACTGGCGCAGGAATTTGATGACGGAATTGATGAAGGTCTGGCGGTTCTCCGGAGTGGAAACCATTGTGGAGAACCTAGGGAGCAGAGGAGGGCAGAGTTGGGGATGGTCAGGGCCTCTTTCTGCCTTCGCTTTCCAGTTTGCCTTTGTAGGACAGAGGTGGTGTGAACTTACTTGGCTGTCCCAAAATTCCATCCTCCAATTGCCAGGAGGGTCTTCAGATTTCCATTCCTGCAAAGATAAGGACACAAACATGTTTTGGTACAAAACAACACTGTTGAATTGCTCTTTCCGACTCTCTGCCTCTTCTTGACACCCCTTGCCCTGCAGGTTGCACTGCTATAGCCCAGGGAACGTCACGTACTGGTTTTTCAGCCCGTTGAAGGATCTGTAGAGGGTCTCATCGTTCCATTCAATGGTCGTGATCTCATTGTTGGACATCCCAGCGAAGGCGTAGATCAGATGGTCACACAGGCATGGGTCAATGTTGTCAACCGTGAAGCGCCCCGGGCTGGGCCTGTACTGGGCCCAGTTGGTGAAGTAGCACGACAGCACATAGGCAGTGCCTGCAGAGACACGGAGGAGATGGGGCAGGTCTGGGCTGCACTGCAGAAAAACTAGGAACTTAAAACAGATTATTGTAACTAGATCTCGTCAGAAATGGTTGGGCAATGCTTCCCTGCCAGGGTGAGGAGTCTGGAGAAAGTGAGGTAGGGTTGGTTATCATTCTGGGAACTGTGTCCTTAATAATAATATTTTTTTTTCTTCCTCACTTTTACCCTGAAAATCATGAATTGGGGTGGTTATAGCCACTGACTCTCTTCCCCAAACTGTGTCTTTCTTCTTTGCTGCCAGGTAAGGAAGAGCAGAAGCAGAAGGGATGCTGCCAGAAGGAAGAAAGCTGTTGGCATTTCTGTTGTGCTTTCTGCTTGACCTGCCTGTGTATGCCCATGCTGAAATGAATTTGGTGAGTTGTTTTGGGGAAAAAAAAGCACATACCTATCTGGGCATTCAGCAGCAGGGCCAGACCTTTGAGGAAGAGAAGAAAGAAAAAAAGTGATTAGTGTTTGTTTTCAGAAATACAAAGCTCTTGAGCAGGACTTGACTGTCCTGCAGGTTGCTGCTATGTCTTTTCCTTTGAAAGGAGAGTAAAGAGACTGGAATTCCAAAGAACTTCTTTTCTAACCCCCAGTACACCGAGAGAGCCACAAATACTTGTCACGAAGGTAAAGAAGTGAGCTGGGAAGCAGGACTTACCGGTAAGCAGAGTGAGCTTGGCCATCTTGGACCAGAACTGGGGCAGGCTGCTTCCCTCTTTTATACCCTTCTCTAATTTCGTAGAAGTCTTGTGTCAACAAAAATGCCCAACCATTACACAAGCTGATAAAAGTATCACAAAAATGATAGCAATACCTTAAGGCTCCATCAGGAGCCACGTGGATTATCAGGCTGTGCCATTTTGTGGTGCTGCCAGAGTAGTTGAAGAACAAGATTAGATGGCTTTTCTTCTTCGAAATCATGTTTGCAGCGAGAGGCTTTGAGTCAATATTGGCGATTAGGCAGGAATAGATGTCTGAAGTGTTCAACCTTGCGTTGTCATTGGTGGCAGGTGGTGCCAAACCAAAGGGTTTGCAAGGGTTTTGTCTCCTTGGCTGGGGCACTCAGCGAGGTGGAGGGGGTCTTGGGCTCACAGCCGTGGGCTTTTTGGGGGCACAGGGATGGGGCTCACTTGGTGTAGCAAGCCATAAGTCGGATGCAGGGGGCCTTGTGGTCTGTGTTGTCTCTTGCCCACACCACTTAAACTTGCTGTCAGTGCAGGGAAGTGGGGTGGGCTTTGTGGTGTCCCAGCAGTAAGGCAAACCAAGTCAGCCTCTGCTGAGCACTTCTCCCACTTGCTGCTGGACCTGTTGGTGTGGACAAGTGAGCAAGGGCAGGCATGAAGAGTGCTTTAGCAAAGTGCCTCCACGTTTCGTGTACTGCTGGCCTGAAAGAGAAATGTTTAGCAGTGTGACGGGCAAACACAGCAGTGTCTTGTCAAAATGATTTTCTTCAGGGCAAAGAGCTATTTCTTGGAGGTCAAGCACTAGGAGAGACAGCCCAGGGACAGAACATTTTTCAGGGCATATTAACACAACTTGAATTGTATCATAGAGGACTTCAGATTAGCATAGAAGCAAGTATAGGCATTGCTAACTTCTGTGTTCAGACTGTTTTCTCTTGAACTCTGGTTAGGTTCCTAGCAGTGGAGTATTTTCTCTCTCATCTCTTTTTATAGTTTTTTAATATGAATAATAGGAAGCTTTTCAGAATCGCAAATAACCACTTGAAGCTAGTTTGCTGAAAGTGTCTGATGAAGAAAAGGCCAATGTGAGGAGGGAAGACAGAGCTTAGCTCTTTCAGCCTGCTTGCCATTTTTTTCCTGCATTTCTTAGGAAAGTCGTTTAATCCTATTCATAAATTCTCTTTAATGGGCTGGAAACAAAAAAAAAGGTAGTGTATGAAGGAAATAGTGCTGATTAGTTTTTAGTGTGAAGCACTTTGAGGGTGTTAGAAATGATCTGCTGCTATGGTAAAATATAATAAATGTTTTCCTTGAAACCTGTGCTCTCTACTTGGCTGGTTAGTACTTTCTGATATGCTCCGCAAGGTCTGTATGGGAACCTCATTTCCTTATGAACTAGAAGCTTTGACTCTCCTGAGAAATCATCCCACTCTCCCACTTAGCATATCGCACACTCTTCTCTGATAACAGCAGCATTACTTATCAGCTCTTTCATTTTTATCAGCTAGCTTCATGAAAAGCTCTCACCGCCAAAGGATCACCTAATTCCATGAACTAAACAAAGGAAGAAATTGAGCTAAAGGAAGAGGTTTCCCTTCATGTGCAGATGCTCAGTTTGCAATTAAGTGCACCTTGAAAGCACTGCAGGAGCAATAAAAGCATAAAGGCAAACTAAAAGTATCATCATGTAGTTTTAACTAAGGAGAGCATCTTCTCCTGGAAGAAATCGTAGACAAGAATCTTAAGTCAATGGTTTGGTACTATCAGCAATTAAAATATCCAACAGTAGGTGTCAATGTTGCTCGCTTTTCCCAGTCAAGTAGATGGAGTGCTTTTCTAGCAGTCTTCTGGTAACATTTCAAGAAGAAATGTGCTTGCGGCCAAAAGGTTAGTTGCTGCTCCTCTTTGTTTCATCACGGATAGAGATCTGAAATCAACAATAGAGGTCTGAGATCAACATACAATTGGAGTGCTTCCTTCTCTGTATAGAAAAGTAACAAGGATAAAGGCAAGTTTTTGTTCAGTTCACTTCTCCAGAACTCTATAACCCACATAAGACATGAGTGTCTTTTGTGAAAGAGTGAAATATGGACTATTAAACACACCTATCCAAAAACTAGCCTAAGCTTGAGATGTGTCAGGATGCCTTTTAAGACATCAGTCATTGTGTTGATATGTCCAGTAATCGTGTCCCCATGGCCTCAGCAGGGTACTGATAAATCTATATTTTTGGCTATCTCACCTGTTTAAATCACCTGCTTATATCTCTAACAAATAATTTAGGCTCATTTTCTGTCTCTTTTGCCTTTTCTCACCAACACAGTAAATATTTACTGTGGGGGAAACTGGGCCTGACCGGTCAGATTAAAGACTGAAATTCTGTTCCCTGATTCCATGTGATGTGTGTGCAGTCTTTACAACGTGTCCAGATTTATTCAAGTGGCTTTGGGTGAAACCGGTCTAAATTGCGTGTGGCCTTGGCACATGTCCCTTATTAACTGCTACAATAAGAAGATTTCAAACCATCTTTGATGTGTTTATGGTTCCCAAGCCTTTCCTTTCTATTGGACACTTTTTTTTTTTTTCTTTTGCTGTGGAGCAACCCCTGGTTTTCACACTGGCAAAACATGAGACAAAGCAGTCGCACTGGATTATTCACTTCGGTGATAAATATTACATCCTGACAGCAGTTCAGCAGGTTCTCCTAACAACCGCCTGGTTTTGCTCAAAGCTCTATAGACTTGATAAGCATTCTATCATGAAGATCAGAGCAATCTTATCTACTTCTTCCTGGCAGACTACATCTTAAGTACAGCCATCTCCTTCCTGGACACAGTAAGCAGCTTCAGACTCCTGCCTGATGCTTGATCCATTTGGTGTTCGGCTCGTGCTTCGGGGCCTGTAAGGAGGAATGTGCTTCCTGATGCCAGCACATGTCAATGGCCTAAACCGTGGCCCTGCCTAAACTGCACTGTGTCAGATACCAACCCTCTGGGAGCGGCAAAAAGCAAGCAGAATAAAATCAACAACCCTTATGTGCATAAATGTCTGCGGTAAGACGTAACCCTTTGTTTTCATTTTGTTAAAAGGGAAGAGAGGCTTTGTGCCATGATCAGGACAGCTTGACCCAATGCAGGTTTTATTTCTTACAGGGTCTTAGCTTTTACCTCGCCATCATGGCAAGAGTCTGTCTCCCTGCTTGATTTGGCTTAAAGTCTCAGGGAGGGGAATGTCAGTGAATCACCGACTACAGCTTTGAGTTGGGTTGCTTCCAATGCCCAGTCCAGGAGGAGTTAGGAGATTCCTGTTCTCCTTCTCTTCCTTTGGTTTCTGCTTTAGATGGAGGAATGGTGGAGTTTCTTCCTTGCAAAAGCTGGGTGAAAAGTATCAGGAGCCTGATCATCTTGGACCCTAGTGGAATGACTGGGAACAATCTTACCTCAAATTCTGCACATCCTGAGGTTGGCATAGTGCTGGAGGTAGGGGAAAAGACAAACTCTGCATGCTGAAACACAAATCGAGGTGCATGGACAGTGTTTAAAGAGACCTGTCTGTCTTCTCTCAACAGCTTTAGTGATACTTCGTGTCTCTCAATGGCTTAACAGCTTTTTATAGCCAAGCTCTTCTTGCAGGGCACTGACCTCCTTAGAAAAACTATCCCCCTCTCTTCAGGAGTCTGACAGAGAATTAAGAAAATACAGCCACAATATCAATGACCAACCGTGTGAAATCTGGCCCCACGTTCAGATAAGTATATGTACACTTGCTTAAGTAACTGCCGCTATAATCCCATGCCTGTAAACGGAGTCACGGAAAAGGATCTCTCCTACCTCCAAGTCACGTAACCCTTGGATGTGTCCTTCACTGTGCAGCCCAGTGAGCTGCTGGTGGCTGGTGCACTGAGATCGCTGGAGCGCCTGTGGCTCTGGAATCTGCTGTTTTGAAAGTGATTTGGGAGCTGCCTTGGTCCAAACCTCTTTCTGTTCTTCTCACGAGATTATTTGGTGTAGCTGAAGGACTGATGTTGCTGGTGCCATAGGAATTATTCCATGGGAAGCCCAGAATGAAGAGCCAGCAACGCTACCTGCAGTGTGACGTGGTCTGTCCAGGAGCACAAGATGCACAAGAAATGTCTGACAGCTGTTCTTCTTCAGATTCACGGCAAGAAATTAGGAGCTTTTATTTCTGAAGATCTTTAGATCCTCAAATTCCCTCCTCCAAAAGATAATCACAGCATGTAGGCCTTGGGCAGAGACTTTGCACAGACTGGATTTCGGGGCATTTTGCTTATATAGGGCAGCCAGGAGAGTGTCAGAGCTCTTTGATACTTAAGACACCAGTTCATTTGTTTAAAGATCTCTGTTTTTAAGCCTGGTTTCCCCAGTACTAACTCCCTGATACGAGGGCTGAGTCTGTTCTGTTTCATGCCATCTTTCTCTGGCGTTTGATTTCCCTTCTCTCTTCAGCTCATTGACTGGAACTAAAGAACTGCTGATTTTCAGATACCAACCATTCCCTGCCTCCCGGGGGAAATTCTTGCCTTCTGCATGTACGTTCCCAGAAATACACCTCTGACTCAGTCTGATTACGAAATGCTGCAGCCATTTCCCCAGCTACTTCTACAGAGTGTCATCATTTATTCACATTCAGTCCCCACGTAAATTTTATTAGGACCTTGAGAGGTCCTTTTCATGAGGAATTTGGTGCAGTATTGCAATCGTGCACAGCATATTCTTTCCTTACAGCACATCTTTCATCTTTCCTGATTCTCTGTTGGCACTAAACTGCTATAATTAGGCGCTGTAAACAAATCCTCAGCTTCTCTGATGTTGTGAAACACTCAAACTTGATTTCTGACTATCCTGTTCCTCAAATAAACCTTGGCTCTCTACTAAAGGCATCTCACTAACGTTCTCGGGTGATCAGGATTGAGGCAAGGAGTTCACCAGCTCTCGGTGGTGGTGGTTAACCCCAGCGAACAGGGTGCTCTCTGCAGAGCTGGATCCTGCCACTCACCCTTGTATCCAAGCGTTAGTCCCAACAACAATTTCCTGGTCTGCCAGCAAGTAAGAACAGGCCTTCAAAAGTGGGCATATCTGCATGTGATACAGGTTCACAAATTGCTCACTTGCACATAAATATCTGTGCCCGAGTGCAGGTGTGTGCAGGTGAACAAAACATATTGCAAAAAATTATATATCTGCATGAATGAATATGCACATGGGTGTTACTTTAGCTCAGGGAACAGCGCATGAGAATGCTTTGTTGCAGCTGCTCTGGATTTTTCTTTCTCTGTTTTTATGCAATTTATGTTACATGCATTTTTTTTAGTGTGATCCTTTAAAACTTGGATTTACTACACCATATAATCTTGAAAAATCCACTTAAGATAGACAATACCTATTAGAGTCTAAACTATTGCTGTTTATTATTGTAAAAATAAAAATAAAAATCACCAGGCTTGCAGATCTTGAACTTCTTGAACTTCTTATGGTCAGGATTCAATGAGGAAGGTTTAATCAGGCTGCTCCACGTAACGTGACCTCTTTTCCCCATCCATCTCACCCAGTCAGTCCCCATTATCAGCAGGGGAAGAGCAGATGCCCTGGACTGTGAGCTGAGACTAGCTGAGAGTACTGGGTGCTAATCCCCCGCCGAACGCTGCAGCCGTCATCAAGCAGAGCTCTGAAGTGTGGGCATCATCTTGCATTTGCATCCCGCGTTCACGAGGTCTAGTCCTTACAGGTAATTAATAGGAAGGCTCGAGGAAGATCCTTTTGGGCTCGTCCTTTTCGCTCCGAATCCTTCAGAGGTGGCTTCGCCCCCTCACCAGCATCCCGGCTCATCTAATTACTTACATATTAAGCTCTTTTTCTGGTTAGCTGACATCTGCCCATTTCCAATTAATCCTTGCACACAAGCTCAATAACCTGAGCCATCTGTATAGGTAAGAGAGATAAGCTTCCCATTAAACATTTACAGGACATAACAACAGAGCATTGAAGCAACTGTTGCTGAGACAACCCAGGCAGGCAGGAGGGTGTCTGCGTAGCTGACCCCGCACCTCTGACTGCCACGCTGCAGCCAAACGAGAAAAATGTGTGCACCTCTGAGCACAGGGTACGTGTGCTCCACGCACCACCAGCACCCGGGGGTTTGCTCCTCTCCCCTTCCTGGGTGTCCTTGCTCCATTAGCATGACAAAGGCTTTTAAAATAATGCAACAGCATTCGGGGCCCTAGAAATTCTAGCAAGCAAACAGCCTTTAAATAAAACATCCACTACTTATGCAGCAGCTCTAAATGACCTTTAACCTGAAGCGCTTAAAATAGCGCAGAAGTCAGTCTGACCCCTTTGTTCAGCTTTCCTGAACAGGGTGAAACGTGTCCTTAATTCTAGACAGAGGCATTATCTTTGTCCCTGCACTTCATCAGATACTGGCCTTGTTTTGAAAGAACAGTTCTGTTTCAAAATACTGCCGGGATGGGGTTTTATCTTGCTCTGAGTCTTCGTTCTTTTTCCCATTCAAGGTTTCCATCTCCAGGGCAGCGCAGAGGACATCTTTTGCTGGTATATCTCATTCCCTGAACAGTGAGTAATGCCAAGGGAGGGTAAAGTTTTGCCTAAAAACCTTCATGACCTAAAGGGTCATGAAACTAAGGGGCTTACCACCATCCCACCCATTTTCTCAGGAATGAAGCCAAGGTGTTTACAACTTTTTAAGAAATCTCAAGATGTGAGATCTCAAGGGTTGGCAGCTAATTGCTTTTAAGGGTGTGAAGAGTACAAGGGGCCACGAACGGGGAGGCAGTCCCTCCTCTGCTCCCTCAGAGCCAAGACAAAGTACAAGCAACCAAGGCAGAGAGTTTCTGAGCTGTGAGAGAACTTGGCTGGGACATCAGAGCCTGAGACAGGCACGGTGACATGAGTACAGCGCTCAGCAGTTCCCAAGCACACGGACACGCACTCAGCTCCACCAAATGGAAGCGAGCCAAAGGCAGACACGGCCCTGGCGGCGTCTTTACCTCCAGCATGGGAGATGATCCAGAGACCGCCCGAGGTCAGCTCAGAATTTTGTCCTCATAATGTGTTTGGCGCAAGGCGTTAACAGGGAGAGGCCGTGCAGCCCCTGACCCCGATCAGACCCATGCTGGAGACGGCTCCAGCTGCTCCCCAGGAGAATGGGCAGGAACAACCCCAGGTATCTCCCCCAAGCAGCGGCCCTGCACCCAGCTGGGTTTGCAGAGCTGAGGCCGAGGGGTGGATACCTGGGTGCTGTGCCATGGGGAGATGCCACAGGGCCTGCCGCAGGTTGTGACGCACCCTGGGGGCACGGGCAGCAGCCAGCATGGCCCTGGGCCGAGCCGAGCTGCAATCGGATCCGCGCTTTGCAAGCTGATCCTTGCTGCCAGCTAGCCTGACGCAAAATCGAGGGCACGCAGCACAGCGGGGGCACGCAGCGCATCGAGGGCATGTGGCACATCGAGGGCAGGCAGCAGCCAGGACGTCGAGGGCACACAGTGCCCAGCACATTGGGGGCATGCACAGCGTGGGTTCAAGCCTGGGTCTGTACTGGTGCCTGCGTGCTGCTGGCTGGCGAGTTGCTGCTTGCATAAAGTTGGTTTGGAGCTAGCTCTGGAGAGAAGGCTGATGATCAGCTCTCTCTGCCTCCTCCGCACAGAGTCCGAGCTGCTGGCGTGCTAAACCCACAGGCACCTCTGCAAGATCGCTCGTTTCTGATCGCTAATTGCTACGGGAGGCTTCTGCACTGCAGAACCAGTGCAGACCAGTCCAGATCTCTTCCAGCGCACATTTGCATCAGTAGCTTTTTCCCACTGATGCTGCAGACTTGTCAGCATGATTATCTCAGCTGCCCTAAGCTGGGGCTTCCATTGCAAGGGAATGTCGCTGAGCTACCAGCCCTGCTGTGCAAAGCTTCCTGCTCTGTGGCTGTGCTGCTGCTCTGCACTTTGGACCGTGGTGCTCCGAAGCAGAGGGCTGGCACGGCTCGTGGAGCTGCTGGGTCACTGTCAGCACTTTGTGGGAGAATCCGTGTGGCCTGGGGACAGGAGACTGGGTGCTTCATCATGGTAGGAACCGAAACACCCAGTGCAGCCAGCTGGCTGCCCGATTATATCTAAAGACAGCTTGCATTCACAAGCCCCAGTCTGTGCTAACCAGTGTCACTCCGAGTGTATTCAGCAAATAATTGTGAATATTGCAGACAGGAGAGAAAAACCAGGCAGGCTGAGGACTGTGGCTAACTTGAAAGCAGTAAAAGTGAAATTCATCAAAGAGACTACCAATTACTGACGTTACTCAGGGCCATGCTGCAGGGAAGGAAGCACCAGGTCCCTAGCGTGTGAACACATTTCTGCTCCACGCCTGCATGCTGGCCGGCCTCTGCAGCGGGGCGTGGGAGTGGAAAAAGCTGGGGTAGGGAGGGCACTGGCCTGGGTTTAATCTCCTGTTCCTGCCGTCCAGTACGGGGGCTCTCCTGTGGCTGCTCCACTGCAGAGGGAGCCTTGAAAGGCTGCCAGGATTTTCAGGGGGTGGAGGAGGAAGTGGAAGTCGAAGCATCTGTCTTAAAATACTCTTCAAACAGCAGCCGTTCCTGCTCGCTGATCAAACAGAGGGGTGTGTGGAGGGGCTTCCTTCTCATTTGCTGACCCTTTGTTTTCCCCGCAGGGAAATGAACACACCCTTGTCCCACCCGAAGCAGGGACATGAGACCCCAGCTGCTCCCTGTGCTGCTTTTCCCTTCTTTCCTAACCCACGGGCTGGAGGCAGTCACCCCTTCGGGCACCCAGGCACCCTGACCAGGCTTCTCACAGGTACCCCTTTGTTCTCGTGCCCATCTCTAGCAGATCTTCACCACCTGCCAGCACCACCACAGCACCACAAGTCCTGGCAGCGACACAGCCAGCTCGGCAGGCTGCTGCTGTGCTTTTGCTGCCACGGGAAGAGGCGTGCAGGCTCTCCTTCTTTGGAAGCAAGGCTCTGCTCCACATCCCCGCGCTGCTCTGCTCTCCGTGCGGAGGGTTGAAGCGAGCTGCGTGGCCGTGTCCTACGTCACTTGTTTTTAAGAAGCTCTTGCCAGCTTCCTGCTGGGGAGCCGATCCTGCTGACGTGTGCGGCCAGGCCACGTCAGGCACAGCCGGGAAGGGAAATACAGTCCTTTTTTGGGCTCAGGCTAGAGCGAAATCTATTGGCCCGAGCAGAGAGGAGGGCTGAGATTCGGGAACAGCTGGGCTCTGTCACTAATTTAGCACTAAGAGCTTAAACAATGCCCAGAATAAACACACGCCAGGACTGGCAGATCTCCCTCTTTTTTCTCAGCTCGGCACAATATTTTCCTTTCTCTTTTAAAAATGTTATTTCACTGCTGATAATTAATTCGAGTGGAATGCTCTTCCAGGGTTATATTTAGATTTTCTTCCCCGATGGCACTCCCCCGTTCCAACTTGTGTGATGCAGCTGTATCGATGTGGGTTTTGAAATGGAAACAATCAGTCCACTTCTACAAAACTTAGCGGTTTCATGTCCCGAGGCAGCACCTGAACTGCAGCACTTTTGGGGATTCAAAAAGGCTGCACATTGCGGGGGAGAGCTAGCACAGCAGAACCCAAACACTTACACCTGCAGCTTGGTCCGGGGGCTTTCAGGTGCCTGAAAAAGGGGCAAGAAAGCAGCCCTGGATCAGAGCACGCTGAAAGCGGTGTGTTATTTGGTGTAGGTTATACATATGTATAACCTACAAATTTGGAAACCTGGGCACTTTACAGCAAGTCTCTGAGATAGTTTTATGTCAAATCTCTGCCTGACAGCTCCTCGGCTTTGGGGAAAACCCCAAGCCAGGCTCAGAATCCCTAGCAAGGCCCCCAGAAAATGCATCCTACCTGCCTGGCAAGGCTTTGCTCCAGCTCTGCCTGGCACAGCTTTGCTCTCTGCCCTCCCTCCAGCTCTGACACGGCTGTAGGCTGCGCAGTTCCTCCTTTCACATGGGTGGCTGCGCGATAAAACAGCTCTGCTCCGTGCCTACGTGGTGTAGGTGAAAAAAAAATAAATAAATCAGGCTACCAAGGTTACAGAGCTGTGAGGAGGAGAGAGTTAATCTGCAAAAAGCTTTCTACCCCTGCATCAACAGCCCCAAATGAAGGACAATTACAGTGCTGCTGTTGTGGGATCCAGGCTCAGCTGGAAAGTCCCTTTCCAACCCCAGCCTGAGCCCAGGGCCTCCCAGCAGCTCCTGCCCTGCTGCCATAAGGGACGGTCACACCCCGGGCCCTAATCTTATCACAGCCCGGTGGAAACTTGTTCAGCAGGGCCATGGAGCGAGATGCAAAGTGGGTCCGTGAGGAATCCTCCTGCTTTTCTCATGTTGGCCAAAGCTTGGTCAGAATCTTTTCTCTCCCATGTGCGATTCCTTTCTTTGCTTAGTTCAAGCTGCATCGAGTGTAATTAGGCAGCCCCATATAATTAAGACAATTATGTAAGGTAAGCACCCCGCAGAGTAATTGTGGGCAATTTTTAGCATACCCAGGGGCGGTTGTAGGGCCCAAGGTGGCCCTTCAAATGATTTACCTGCTCACATGTCTCTAAAGCACTCATCCTAGGTGTGTCCTAGGTGGCCTCTTTGAAGTGGACGTTATTGTTCTGCTCCTGCTGAGAAACAGCTGGCTAGAGACGTGCTCTTTTTTTTTTTTTTTTTTTTTTTTGCCTTCTGTCTTACAAAAAGGGAGTTTCATATCGTGTTTCTATTCTGACGGACTGAAACTGAGACCCGAGTTGCAAGTGACCCAGATTCAGATGTGACCTGCCAGAAGCAGGGCTTGGAGAGCTCTCCCTCCACAGGTGGAGCGTGGGTTGCTCTAGGCACAGGCTTGCTTTTGCTCATTGTTCTCCTTTCTCTTTTTGATGAGAAATTCCACCCAGGGTCTGGAAATCTTCCCAAGAAAACGGTGCTGACACGAACAGACTTCCTTGAAATGTTTTGTTTGTAGTGGAAGGCACGTCAGTTCAGCCGCAAACACCACGAGGCTCCCCCTTTAGGTCCTGTACTTTTGAGAATAAAGGCAGCCCTCTGCTCCCTGCTAGCCCTCTGCCGTGTTCCTTGAAGCCATTTTATCCCTTCCCTACCTGAAGATTGACCTCTGCTCAATCAGCAAAATTCCCATAGGCACGCCAGATCCTAATCTGCATCTCAGCTCTGAATCTGGAGTCACTCTGTTCTCATCCAGGGAAATGTGAGCCCGGACCTGGCTGTGAACTGAACACCAGCACCAGTCCTGGTACAGTCCAGCTAGGAAGGATGGCATTACAATTCAGGGGCTCTAGGAAGTGGTGGGTTGGAAAAAATTGCCTCATTTCCCACCCCCACTTTGCAGGCAGAGCCCTTCTGTGGCTGCACAGCCACCTCTGCCTGTGCTTCGAGGAGGGGGCGTCATGAGCACGAAGGATTTTTGTCCCCAAGGCAGCAGAGATGCCCACAGGGCACGGGTTTGCTTTTGGGCTTGTCCAGATCCTCCTCTAACTTGCCAGCAGTGTGTACCTGTACAGCTGGGGTGCTTTCCAGTGCACGTGTTCCAATCTACACAGAGCTGAGACCTTCCCTTTGTGAAGGGAAAGCTGCGAGGGCTCTGAGCTCGTTCTGGGACAGTGCAGGCTGTGGGGAAAGGCTGAGGTATCAGTGTGTGGTGTTACGATGTCTGCTCGCTACGCCTGGTTTTCTGCAATGCATCCGTCCAAGGGAGCTCCAGGGATGCCAGTGAATGTAATAATTTTGGTTGTTTCCGAGGGGTTTAGGATCACACTGGGTCGTCTCCCCTCTCCCCTCCCCAAGACACACATCGGCCTCCAGAACTGACGTCTGATTTTATGCTGTATTCTTTTTTCTCTGCCTGTTTTAGCTGACTCCTATGGTTCAGCCCTTACCATGGATGCACCGAGCTAGCTCGTGTTTTCAGTTTTCCTCTTAGCAACAACCTTTTTTTAATTAAAAGCTCACCCCTCGCAGGAGGGGAAGAAAAGCATCCAGCCCGAGGAGACTTGTGATGAGATCTCAAGCGCTGGCAATTCTGAGCTGGAATTTCTGATGGTGGAATGGAACAGTTTGGGCACAATGTGGCCTTGCTAAAAAGAGGGAAAACAACCATTTATGGCAGACAAATGGGTGCAATCGCCAAGCAAGGGCTCTCCTGGGCTCTGGAGAAGGCAGGGTGAAGGGTGCATGGGTTATTATTAGCTGCTTTGTATCATAAAGAGGGCCTTCGGTTGCCTGGTCTCTGCGAAAGCTGCTGCACTCAGGAGTACTCTTGAGAAGGAGGGAGTGGAAAGCAGGAATTTCAGCCCCTTTTAAGGTCTGTTTACTCTTCCAGCCTCCGCAGATTTCAAGGGCATTGTATACGAAGCAAATCCGCCATGGTTATCGTGGTGAGAGCTGGAGGCGCAGGAGGGACTGGCGATCCCTGGGGCCCTGTCAGCCAGGAGTTATGGGCTCCGTGGAGATGTTTTCCTGCTCCACGGGGCCATTTCTGTACCGAGTGGCCATGGCCTGGGTTGAGAACGGCTCCTGGCTCCACAGGGACCATAAAAAAACAGCCCTGTGCCTTGTGTTCAAAGGGCTTGTTGCTGCCAGCAAACTGGAAGGCGATTTTCCCCTCTCTTCCCTCCTGCACAGCGTTTTCTGTGAGGACACCGCAGCACTGATCCTCTGTAAAAGGTGATGGTCTCATCGCTGCATTCCCAGCTCCTGCACTAGAGGTACAGCTTTTCAGGCACAGAAGTCTCCAGGTGCTTTCATAACCAGAGGCGAGCCTCCACGTGCATCAGGAAACTGAGGCACCTCGTGAGCAGAGAGTTGCTTTTGCAAACACCCCGCAGGTGGGTGCCAGCAGCAGGACCAGCCCTGCTGTGCTTGTTCAGCTGCTTCTCAGGCCAGCTGGGAGGCACGCCATCCCAAACACACACCACAGAGCTGGGCAGTAAGGGATTGCAGCCCCACTTCGCTCTTTACAGTGGGTACCAGGGGTGTAGTTAGCTCTTGAACTCTGGGAGCCTCCAATAAATGCCTTGGTAGATGGCCAGGGTCCAGTACTGGAGGTGGCAGAAGTGTGAGCTGCAGCTAGGAGTGGCCGTCACTTTGTGTGGTGGGACAGGCCATTCCCCCATTTCTGCTGGGGGGCAGAAATGACTTTGTGACCTGCAACTCCTGTTTTACACTGCCACGACATCCTCAGTGCTGAGATCCAGGTTCCCCAAACGCTGGTGATCAGTTTTGGGGCAGCTCTTACAGCACGAGCATTACATTTCAAATCTTGGGTTACCAAACAAGACTTCACATCCAGTCTTGAGTACAATCAGGGAGAGCAGACGGCTGGGAATGACAGGCAAAAGATCTGAGCTGCAGATGTGCTGTGCCTCCACGAGGCTCTCACATCACACACCAGGCTCATCTTGTCCCAGAGCTGCTGGGGACAGAAGGGGGATGACTGGGGGGCGAGGAACCTGAGCTGTGGGGGGGACATCCCAGCTGAGCTCCTGGCTCCATCACAAACCACTGGCTGGCCCCAGGCGTGACATTTTGCTTCCCCGTGACTCAGTTTACCTTCTGGGAAATAGAGGGGAAGGGAAGAAATAACACCTTACCTTGTCAACTAATTTTGCGGGATACTCTATTAAAGTCACTTTAACGGGGCAGTTGAGGACCCTGTTATAATGAAAATTAATAAATCTGCTGAACTCTGACTGCAGTTCCCAGGTCTGGGCCCCAGCCAGCTGCAGTTTCTCTCCCAGTTTAACGTAGCCAGGTTTTGCTGCACTGATGGTGAGGCTGGGAGTGCATGTGCCTCGCTGCAAGTCCTGGCAGACCTGGCCCTCCTGTCTCGCAGTCCTTGGGGTACCCCGGGAAGGTGGGCACAGTGCTGAGATGAGGGGGTTGCCCAGGCTATGAAGGGAAGCAGTGGGATGCATCCTGCTCTATCAGAGGGGCTCCGATCTCTGCCTGGCCCCTCTGTCCCCCATCCCTGGCCCGTACTGATGTCTTGGCTGCTGGCAGATTGGATTGCACGTTCCCAGCTGGGAGGGAGGTTTCCTGACAGAGCTCCATGTATAATTCACTCAGCATGGCCTCAGCCAAGACTCGGTACAGGGAGGGGAAAATGGCTTATTGTTTTTCCAAACCTCCTTTTGTTTCCTAAGGAATGTGGCTGCAAAGCCCTGCTGCTGCCAGAGCCTCTCTCGAGAGCCCTGCTCCAAAGGTAGGTCTTCCGTGGGACTGCTGTGCCCAGTGGGGGATGCCAGCAAGTGAACTTGTTGTTTCTTTTGCAATCCAGCAGCTGTTCCCCCCGTAACACAGCTCACCCCACTCTCCATCCTCCCAGGCACCGTGGCGCTCGGCGTTCCCTCTGCACAGCCTTTTCCTCTGTCACCTCACGGGGACCGGTGCCCATGTGCTGCATTTCCAGCCCTTCTTCTTGGCCTGTCTTAGCCACCTCGTTTGCTTTTTAGTGCCTGCTCAGATTCCAGAGGTGCTGAGAGATCCCGGACAGCTTCGCTGACCTCCCTGTGGGAGACGGGAACATAGCTGCCGAGGGTGGGAGTGGGACCGTCCCTGCCATTACTGCTGGGTGGGGTGGGGCAGGGCTGCAGGGTAACTGGGCTCCCAAAGCATTAATTAGAGTCTGAGCTGGTGATGAGCGTGCGGAGGACAATCGTTTCAAGGAGCTCTGGGGAATGCTGGTCAGCACAGGCAGGACTGAAGTGGCCTGGTCCCGGCTCTGGCAGAGTCCCCCAGGCCAGCTCTGTGACCATCACAGCCCTGCCATGCCTCAGGGGCAGCCTCCCGGAGGCCATTTCCAGGATGTCGATGTTATGTTTAGCTTAGGCGGGTTAAAATGTACCAGTTTCATTCCAAACCTAGCTCCTACGTGAAGCTCATGGGTTTTTGTAAGGGGAGACCGAAGTCCTGTGCGGGAATTGAGCAATAGGGCAAGGCCTTGGACAGGCACCAAGGTCTGACCTGAAAATGGCTCAGGAATCCAGACCCCACCTCCTCTCCTCAAATGTACACAGATAAAATCACGACTGCTTTAATTCCTTTAAATACAAGTGGAAAAATGCCCCCAGAGACTCTGCTGAAGCCTCAGTTCTTGCTGAAATGCAGAAAGACGAAGAGAGAGCTTATGTGCTGCCTCTGTGAGTAATAGATGTGGCTCTAACCTGAAACCTGGGATCCAAACCCAGATGAACTCTGTGTGCAATCCACAGCCATGCCTAAACCCAGATTTTTGAGTAAATGACCCCTACTTTACTAACTAGCCACCTCCCTCCTTCCCTCCCTGGCTGCACACACCCTGGCAGCTCAGGGCCAGCTCCAGCTCCCAGGCCAGCCATCTGGTCGAGCCCAGCCTCTCTGACCTTCCTTGAACAACAAAACTTTCTGTGTGACTTCTGCAGCAGGTCGAATAAAGAAAACCACATCGGCTTCTCCCCTGAAGCCCACGAGGCAGCAGTAAAAGACGTCAGCAAGCCAAAACGAGGGGGGCGTTTACTCCGGTCTGTAGGATTTGGGCTAGGGGGGGAGGTTTGGGAAGCACCCGTGGGTGGCTGCATGCGGTACACCCAGCGCAGGTGCAGCACCCACCAAAAAAAACAATTAGATGGCTTTGCTGGGGAGGGCTGGGAATCCTTGGGAAGAGCCTAGAGCAGTCCTGCAGAATCCACCTGCTGCTCGGGAGGTCTCTCTCGGCGCGGGGATCAGCCTGCCTCTTGGGAAAGAGCACCACCCAGATCTAAGCCCTGCTAGGGTGTTGCCCTGCTTTATCTGGGCCGTCTTTGTGCGCTAATTGATGTTTGCAGGGCTGGGGAGGTTTGCTGGGCTCTGGGAAGCACGGGCTTCTTTCATATTTGTGGGTGTAGCCTGAGAAGAACCCCAAGGACCTTCTCCCAGTGTCCCTTCTCTCCCACGCTGGAGCCTGGACCATCTGTGTGCTTCAGCTCCCGATGGCCGTGAGACAACAGGTCCCTGGGGATTTGCTGTCTGGGCACATAAAGGCCACAGGGAGATGGATGGATTGGGCAGAGCTTCGTCAGCGGAGCAGCTAGAGATAAAACCTGACATAATCCGTGCCGTGGAGTCGAGCTGGGGACCAAGACGAGGACTGGTGGGGAGGGAGAGAAGGGCAGCCAGACCCAGAGCTTGTGATGGCCGGGAGCTTCTGGAATTAGCCATGGCCAGGTCAGGTTGCCATAAATGAATTGGCTGTGGTCATAACAGTGCTGGTGTAGGCCAAAATCTGGAAGTTTTGGAGCTGCTTGGCTTCTCCTGTTAGCAGCACCAGCCACGCTAACGCTTTGAAGTCTGCATGGGACAGGCTTGAACTCTTCAGCCTTGTGGGAAAACACAGCTCTTCCCTGAAAGATCCCATTTCTTTTTGACACCGTACGTCCTACGGAGCCCTTCAGCAAAGGACCGAGTGGGGGTAGCTCAGGTGCCTGATGCTGCAACAGAAATCACTTGAATCCCTAACCATCTCCTCCTCCTCTCCTCTCAAGTGTGGGTAAACCAGCTGCTCTTCGTGGGCTGTCAGAAAACAGCCCCAAGCCCCGCAGAGACTCCCGGCTCCGAGCAGGGGCGGTGAATTCACTCAGCGGCTGCTACAGCAACGCTGCCGCCGGTGCTCCTGCCCTTGTTTTGCTGCCGACGACTGGGGTTGCCATGGTGCCGTGAGGCACGTTACCCCGCATTAATGCTTTATAAGCAATAAACGCCGATTTCGGCAACGTGCTGCTCGGGCAGCTCGTCGCAGCGTAGCTCCCCGGCCGAGCCGGAGCTTGGCAGGCGAGCCGCCCTCTCACCACTTGAAAAATCCCGTCTCGTGGTTTCAGCCAGAGGGTTTTTCTGAACTTCTCATTTCTAAGAAAAGAAAAATCCCTTTTTCGTAGCACGGCTACGTTGGAGTGAAGTGTGAAAGCCCTATATATAGCCCTCCGGCCTGCCCGAGAAGGAGGGGTGTGAGGTAGGCCCCAGCAGGGAGCTTTGCCTGGAAAGCTCTGGGGAATGCAGGCGCTGCGGCACTGGGGCCTGCAGCTCGCAGGAGGGGCCCCGTGCCTTGCCTTTGTGGCTTTGAGCAAGGCCCAGCATCTCCTAGGGCTCCATTTCCAACCCTCACAGCTGCCTGCTCCCCCGTAGATCCTAAATCCCAGTTCACATGGTCGAGCTGAGGAGGATTCGGCTCCTGCGTCCCGTGGCGTTAGTGGGTTCGCCACCAGTTGCTGGTGTATTTACCTATCCCCAGCCATGGGTAGGGAAATCATATTTTGACTGGAGCTGTGTGTGTGTTCGGGGACTTTCTGGGACAGACACACCCCAGGGTGCTGCAATAGGGGCACTGTGCACACCCCGGTGTCTCACACGAGCTGCTCACCTTGGGCGCTGCGGGGCTGCTGGGGGGCAGAGGGTTGGAGCGGACACTGCTGTCCTCCCAGAGCCCCACTGATCCTTGCTCCATTTCTGAGTGCACACCAGGGCTCTGAACTCCTTTTTATCTCGGGGACTAACAAGCCTGTTCCAGGCATTACAGCTGGAGACTTTCTCTGGACCTGCCCGTGCAAAGTCCTCCATCCCCACCCTGCTCTGGGCCTGCCGCCGCGCTGAGCGCCCTGCTGTGGACCCCTTCTCTCGCCCCCTTCAACCTCCTCCGGCTTTGTTTGACAGGAACAGGGGTAGGCGGAGGCAGAGGCATCCTGCAAAGAGGATGTGGAAAAAAACAATAACCAAATGCAGAGAACAGGAAACCATCTGTGAAATCAGCGTGAGGTCAGCGACGTACCTTCCCCGACGTGGCAGCTCCAAGAGGAACTATTGTCTGAGGCTTCTCCTCTGGCCACTAAGGTCGGGCGTTGAGCAAATGTCCCCTTGCACAAGGCTCTGTCAGTATGGGTTCAGCTAGTGAGGCCAAGGAGAAAGCCTCCAGAGTGCACTTAAGGCAGCTGGAGCCAGCGAGTGCTCAGCACCGTTGGAAAAACTAGGCCCAAAGTCCTCAGAAATTCGAAGAAAAAGCAATTACTGTGGTTGCAGCTCCCTCGAGCGCGGCAATGTTTGCTTCCTAAAATACTCCCGAACAGATGTGACATTTGCAGCAGGTCAGATATGTTGTTTGCCATGAGGAAACAACGGCCTGCAATACAGAAGGAGGCTCGGAGGGAGGTTGTTCTGAGGAGGGCGTCTCCTGGGTCTCTGCGGGCAGTGGCAGAAGCCCCGGGCTCGTGCTGCAAAAGCTGCTGTGCTCAAATGCTGGAGGGCATCCAGCCCTCAGCCCGTGTACCCTCTTCAAATGAGGCAGAGGGGAATATTTAGCATCCCGAGAGCCTGCAAACGGAGCTGCCCCGACATGCCTGAAGCGTGCCTCTGCATGTCCCATCCACGCTGCAGATGCTGGTGGAGGGAGGGCGGCTGGGTACAGGCAGCACAGGCAGGCCCAGCACAGGACCCGGCTGCCAAAATGCATTCAGGCCCCAAAATAGGGGGCAGGGGGCACGGCACAGCGCACGCCGTGGGGGCACGAGGGCTGGTGAGCTTCCAGGAGCTTGGCCTGGCGAGAAGATGCTCAGCGCTTCTCCTGGCTGGGCACCCGTGCGTGCTGCAAAACCAAGGGCTAGTCGAGGGAGATAACAGGTTAAAGAGGCTTCGTTGTCTGTCCCCATCTCCTTGCCCCTCTCTGATGCGTTTCACACGGTTCGCTCAGTCTTATTTCACAACCTCGTGTTTTGAAAGGACTTATTAGCTCTAAGTGTAGGCTGCGCATCAGACTCTTGCTTTATTGTTTACCCTGCCTGCTAGGCCTGTTTCTGGGGTCAGACCCGGGTTACCAATTACAGCCCTGATTAAACACACCAGCCCTGCTTACCCCTGGGCTTTTTTTCCCCTTAAATTCCCAGTGACTGCGCTTACCCGGTGCTAGCACCCAGGTGGCTGCTGGCAGCACGATCCCGATGTCTGCGCCTTCTCCGGCAGAGCCAGATAATGAGATTTGAACGGGGCCAGTACATCTCTTATTTTTACAGTTCAGAACAAGAGATTTATTTTTTTTTTCCCCTTACCATAAAGCCAGCCAGCCCTCGCCTTCCCAAATCCACCCAGCTAACCTTAAAATCCTTCCCAAGCGCTAGGGTAATTGGGAAGGACCCAACCAGGAGAAGTGACTGGCTAATTTAGCAAGCTGTGGGACACGTCTAATCGGGAGGATTTAAAACGTTAATTCTGCATGTAACTAGTTCGCTGCTGATAACGGGGGGCATGGATTCGTGGCTGTTGGACTGGTGGCTGACCCAAAGGATATTCCCGAGCTGGGTTTTGTGCCGGATGCCTCAGGAACTTCAGCCCACCGTGGTGAGAAAGGTGCCCCCTCCAAAATTTCCAGCTCAGAGCCGAGCGTGGGAACAGCTTCCTTTTAGGTGTACGCAAACACCCCGAGCTGCTGACTCCTGCAAAGCCCCAGTCCCTGTGAGCTGTGCTGAGTTTTAACCCTTGATTGCAAGCCAAACGCTCCCCTTTTATTGTAAAGCTTCCAGCTCGACTGGTTTCCAACCTCCTTTGGATAAGCGGAGCGTTTGGAAGCCTATCTGAACGCCTCCTTCCTGCCCAACCAGTCCCCAGGCTGGTCTGGCCGATCGCTATGGTGAGGTTTATTGTTTTGGTGTGCTTTTTTTTTTTAAATTGAAATCTAAATGCTCTCAGCCATTTCCAGCTAAACACAGGGCGGAAACTAATCTAGCCAGAATGACATTAAAGCCGCTCTGCCTTCGCTTTTTAAAATGAATTTTATTTTCTAATTGTTTGTTTACTCCCCGGCTCCTCAAAGCGGTCGGAAGGCGTGCATTAAGCCTCCTGCCCCGTCTTTAAGCCTGCCCGTCTCGCTGTAACAGGGCCAGAAGTTATGGGCGCGTAACCCGCTTAGAGGCCCTTGAGCTCCACAGGAAATCTCTGATTGGGAGGGCTTAACGAAGCCAATCTGATTTGGGGGGAGCCGGGCCTGTGTCAGCCCTCTGCCCGGAGAGCCCCGGTGATTAGGAACAAACGGAGGACCTGAATTGGGAGGATGGTGCCGCGCTTACTTCATCCACTTGCGGAGCAGGGGGGACCAGGGGAACCTGCTGGCCAAGGCCACATCAGCAGCAGCGCTGCTGCTCCTGGCAGCATCGCCGCGCCTGCTCCCCGTGCTATTCTTGGCAGGCCAGAGGACAGGACACCTCTTGCTGCCGTTGTCATCCAGTGACTCAAGGCTGGGCAATGCCAGCCAAGTGCTTTTGAACGTGATCCTTCTGCTGGCCGGGGGCACAGCCCCTGCTTCTTGCCCGCTCAGTTGAGGTTGCCAGCTCTGCTCAGGCCTCCTGGGCTTCGCCACGGCAGAAAAGTTGGCCTCACTTTGCCTTTTCCCGGTGCATTTATACGGAGGTGTCTGCGCTGATGGCTTTGTTTGCTTCCTAATTTTCCGCCGGTGATGACGGTGCCCACAGGCTTCCGAGGGCGTTTGCTGGCTGGCAGCACAGGTGTGTTTGAAGCAATCAAGCTCTGCGTGGACGGGCTCGCGCTGGGTGTTTGTGCAGCCTCTTCCAGGGGCCCCCCGGCTGCTGCTGCAGCACAGATCTCCTCCCCCCGCATTGTGCCGTGCTCGCATGGACCCATGCGCTCTTTCATGTGTGTTGCTGACTTAAAAAAAAAAAAAAAAAAGTCCTTAGACTTTAATCCTCGGGTTTATTTCAAAGCTTACAAAGACAAATCTGGTTTATAGCAAGAGATTTGCCTGGTTCCTTGTGCTTTGCGGATGAATGGAGCGGCAGATGGAGCGGGGAGGGAGGACCCGGGGACCCCTTGGCTCTATCTTCTTGCTGGCTTGACCCTACTTGTGCGCTGCTGCCTTTCTTCTGAGCTGTGCAGAACAAGAAACGGGGTCAGTACAGACCTCTGCTCGGGCACTACATTTTCTATTGCCGTCTTCTATGATTTCCAAAGCTATTTTCCTACTCTTTTCTCCCATTTGTGGGCTTCGCACTGCTACGTAGCCATCCCCTCGTGCTTCAAGTGCAAAGTCCCAAGCACAGCGCCTGCACGAAGGAACGACAGAGGTGTGAATAAAATGAACTGCAGACTCTGGAAGCAAAAAAGCCTCAAAAAATCCAGCTTTGAGTCACGGAAAATGATTGGAGCCTGGAGACCTGCTGTGCTAAGAGCTGCCCCACAAACTCCCCTTTGCTGAGTGCTCTCAGATGGCTCTTGCCAAAAGCATTAGGGTTAGGGTTAGGGTGGGCCAGGACCCCGAGGGGTCCCACGGCAGCCACGATGGGGTGGGGGCAGGCAGCGTGCCTGGGGCTGCACGCTCCTCCTGCACCTTCTGGGGAGCGAATGCAATGCTGGGATGGGAGCAGCATTTGGGAACCGCTGTGCCTGGGCTCGCAGGGCAGCAGCTCCTCGGGCAGAGGCAGTGGCAGTCTCCAGCTGCACTTGCTGCCAGATGAGGTCCTGGCCATTGAACCCCTTCCCACTGGGGACCGCACCAGATCTGTGCCCTCAGATCCTCCCCCAGAGCACCGGGAGAGGTGCGGGGCTGCCAGACGATGGCTCACAACAACCCCACTTCTCTGCCAAGGGATGTTCGTTCAGAAAACCCATCCTGTTTTGACACTAACTCTCTCAGGGCTGATCAAAGCACAGGCAAGAACAGAGCCTGGCCTCCTACAGCAGCTGCTGTAGCTTCGGGCCAGTTTCAGCAGAGGCTGGGCTGCCTCCATCCCAGGCAGCGGGGCCGGCAGCGGGGCCAGCCGCTGCAGCTCCCCATTTTTTGGTGGTTTTTGGCTGCTGCTCGCGTCCTGCTCAGCACCGGGGCCATGCTCTGCTCCCAGCGCTTCTCCTCTGCTGCTGGGCTGGATGCAGGCACCCGAGGACGCTTCCTTCATCTCGCTGCCTGCCTCGGCTTGCTCGCCCCGCTCCGTGACGGGACACGTCCTGGCGCTGCAGCCACCTCCTCCTGCTCTCCTCGCTCCTCGCCTCGAATGCTCCCTGGGCAGAAGGACAAAGGCGGCTGCTGCAGTGTCCCCCTCACCCCCTGGGGTGCTGCTGAGCTCTCCCTGACATTTGGGGGATCTCCAGAAAGGTTTTGGCCTTGCCCAGAGCCCGCTGATGAGGGCACAAGGACCTGCGATGTGTCTCAGGGGACTTTTGGGGATGGAAACCTGCCTGTGCGCCCCTGGGGAGGTGCGGTGCCCCGTGCGGGGTGGCAGCACCCAGCTGTGCTGGAGGCAAGGGGGCAGAGGGGACGGAGATAGGGACGGTCACAGGTGGCTGAGCCGTGGTGTCCCAGCCCAGAAGCGGCACCGAGAGCTCCGGTGCTGAGCTGGAGTCCTGGGGACCACCAGGACCCCTCGTGCCAACCCCATCCTGCGGTGCCACAGGGTTGTGGGGATCCCTTTTTGGGGGCGACCTGTGCCTGGGGGTCCGTGTCCACATCCATGCAGGCACCCAGCAGTGGGCAGGGGAAGGAAGCCTGGCACTGGTGGTCCCAAATCCCCCCGGTTGTGGGGTTGGGGTCCCACACAGCACCCACCACCCCACTCCACGGGGTGCACAGCACCCAGGGGTGCCTGGCACCACCTCCCCCAACACCACAAAGGACACCGGGACCCGGGGTGCCCCGCAGCACTCGGGACACCCCGGGGGGACCCTGCCTGACCCCATTCTCCCATGGGACCCCCAAAAACCCTCCTGGGGCCCCGGGGCTGGGGGGGGGGGGGGGCGGTGGGGGCCGATCCTGGTCCTGATCTTGATCCTGATCCGGATCCGGATTCTGGTTCTGATCCCGATCCGGATTCTGATCCTGATCCTGGTCTCGATCCGGATTCTGATCCCGGTCCCGATCCCTTCCCCCCCCCCCCCCCCTTCTTTTTCTCCTCCCCCCCCCTCCCGCCCCCCTCCTCCTGCTCCCCCCGCCCCCCCCCCGTGCTGACGTCACTCCTTCCATGGCGCTGAGCTCAGGCGCTATTTGCATACCGCCGCCCGCCTCAGCCAATGGGAGGCGCCGCTCCGATGACGCCTCCCCCCGGCGCTCTATATAAGGGCGGCCCCGAACCCGCGGCCCCCGTGAACCGAGCCGGGAGCAGCGGGGCCGCCGCGGGCCGGGACCAGCCGGGACCCCCCCCCCCCCCCGGGCCGAACCGGGACCCTCCGAGCCGAGCCGGGACCCCCCCGAACAGGGCCCATCCGAGCCGAACCGGGCTGATCTGAGCCGAACCGGGTCCCCCCGGGTTGATCTGAGCCGAACCGAGCCGTACCGGGACCCCGGACCCCCCCCCCCCCTTTTTTAACCGCACAGCCATGAGCCCCCGGCGCGGCCCCCCCCGGCCCGAGATGCTGCCCGAGATCGCCGCCGCCGTCGGTTTCGTCTCCGGTCTCCTGCGGACCCGGGGCTGTGTCAGCGAGCAGCAGCTGCAGGTCTTCAGCGGGGCGCTGCGGGAGGCGCTGGCAGGTGAGGACCCCCCCCCGGGGCCATCCGAGACCCCCCCCCGGGGCTCTTCTCCTCGGCAGGACCCGGAGCCCCCTCGGGGGTCTTGCCCCGTGGTTGTCCCGACCCGGTGTCCCCTCCCTGGGGGGACTTTCTGGGTGCCCCATAGTGCTGGGTGCCTGGTTGTGCCCCCCCCCCGTGCCCCCCAGGGGGCTGGTACCCATCCGTGTACCTCCCCCCCTTCCCCAGCACCCACCCGTGTTCCCTTGGGTGCTGGGTGTCCGCCTGTGCCTTGCTTGGGTGCCCACCCGTGTCCCTCTGGGGTCCTGGGTGAGCACCTCCTGCCTCCCCCAAAGGTGAGGAGCTGGACCCTAGCTGGGGGGGTTTATGTCTTGACCCCCCGGTGGCCCCCAGCTGCTCTCCGTGCCCTGTGTCCGTGGGGTTTCGGTGCCCCCCACGCACCCATTTGGTGCCCAGCACCCGCTGGGTGGTGCGGGCGTCCCCTCCCAGCCGAAAGCAGCCTTTGTGTTATCAGCCCCGGGACGGGGTGGGTTGCTCGGTGCTGCCCCGAGATAAGGGGCAGTGACCTGCCCCCAGAGGCAGGCTGACCCGAAGGCTGCTCCCCGGCCGTGCTGGGGTGGTGCTGCTGATATTGTATCCCAAGTGGCCAGGGTGAGGTTTTGGGGTCCTGTCTGCAACCCCCCACTGTCCTGCCTGGGGTTTTAGGACCTGAAGAGTGACAGCCCTGTGCCTGGGAGCAAGCGGCAGCCAAAAAGCCGAGCTCTGTGCCTTGGTGTCCCCGATGGAGGCAGCCGAAGGAGGACTCGGTTCCCTCTGCCTTTGTGGGATCCCCTGGGGACTGCAGCAGGACACGGCTGCTCACCGCTCCCCCCCCTCTCGCTTCCCTTTGCAGAGCACTACAAACACCACTGGTTTCCCGAGAAACCCTTCAAAGGCTCCGGCTACCGCTGCATCCGCATCAACCACAAAATGGACCCCATTATCAGCAAGGCAGCGAGCCAGATCGGACTCAGCCTCCCGCAGCTCTACCAGCTCCTGCCCAGCGAGCTCACGCTCTGGGTGGACCCCTACGAGGTCTCGTACCGCATCGGGGAGGACGGCTCCATCTGCGTCTTGTACGAGGCGACCGCCACGAAACCCGGGAGCTCCTACGGGATGCTCACCTGTAAGAACCAGATGATGTTCGGTCGCACCAGCCCTTCCAAAAACTACATCATGACTGTCTCCAGCTAAATACTCCTCATGTCCTTACACTGCCAAGACCCGGGCTACTGTATACCTCACCTGAGGATCTATTTTTAAAATGAAGAGCTATTTATATTTTTTAAGAAAATCCAAGAAAATCCAAAATTAAAATATTGGGCACTGCTTCAGACAGGAGCAGTGTTTTCGGTGCCTTTTTTAAAGCTGTTGCAAGCTTATGAGTTTTTATTATGAAGCCGATATCTACCTAATTAGTGTTGGATGGCAATTGCAGTAGGCTGGCTCGCTCACTTGGGCAGCTCGGAATGGAGGAAGAGGGGGAAGAGGCAGGCTGGGACGTGTGGCTGGTGGGGGGAGATGTCACCCCCCCGTCCTGGTTCCTAGCAGCGTTGTCACCAAGTGTTGCGATGCTGTTTGGGAAGGGACAAAGGGGGAGTTGTCATCTTTCCTTCACCAGTTTCACTTCCCAGCTCGGCTGATCTCTGGGTGCCTGGATAAATTGTGCAGGGGAACCTTGCCCTGAGGGCTGGGTGATGCTGGGGGCCCTGGGACCTCTCCTGCTCTGGCTTTTTTGGACCTACCAACTCTGAGTGCTGCAGCTCTGGGCTGCCCCCCCTGGAGCACAAAGCAAGGGGCAGCGCATGGCTGGTCTCCAACCCCTCCATCTCCTGCCTGCTGCTGGGCTGAGGGGGCCCTGGGGGTGTCCTCGCCACGGGAAACACCCGAGGCAGAGATGCGGTGGCTGGGGAAGCACCAGCCTGTGCCGTGGAGGTCCCCAGGATGAATTTTGCAGGCGCTGTGGTGGCACCGGAGTGCTCCTTGTTCCTGGTGCTCCCCAGTACCTGGCTGTCACCACAGCTTTCTGCACAGGCAGGGTGCTCCAGACCCTGAAATCAGCTCTGAATTACAAGGCCTGCCCGCTCTGGAGGGCTCAAACATCCAGCCCGTGGCCTCTTGCGTATAAAAATTGCCTAATCTGGTGCTGACGACCTGCTGCGTCACTTCTCCGGAAGAGCTGAAGCAACTTGCCTTGTGCCCTAGAGGTTGGTGTTGGATCCTCTTTTGCCTTCTCTCCTAAAATCCCAAAGTATCGGGGATCTCCGCCCCCTGTGCTTGCTGCAGTTCTGAGGCTGGGGTGCTCAGGTGCTTTGGGGTCAGTTTTGCTTTTAAATTCTCCCCTCCTCTCCCTTCTCTTCCTCCCCTGGGTGCTCAGCAAGAGGCTGACCCCGGGAGCTGGCTCAACTGAGACCTCGCTGGGGGCACCGCCTGGTTCCGACCTCCTGGTCCAAAACCGTTTTGCACAACTCATGCCTGGTCCTGGGCTTTGCCCCTTCAAGCAGAGCTTGTGAAATCCCCGTGGTACTTGTCTTCAGGGAGATTTCCTGAGCTTTGTTTGAGGTTTGGCCCTTAAACTGCTCCAGCTCCCTCAGGTTGGGTGGGAACCAGCGGTGCTGCCCCAAAAACTCTACCTGCCTGCTGGGGAATGAGCCTTTACCGGGATGCTCCGTGTCCCTTGCCTTTTTCCTAACCAGCTGGTGCTCCTCCAGGGATCCTGGGAGAAGTGATTGAAAAACCAGGGCATTGACGTGGTTTGCTCTTAACGAAACTTTCCCCGAGCTGTTTTCGCAGCACGCTCTTTACCTTCCTCTTTTCTTGACCCAGCAGCCGACTGGCATAACCAGAGTTGTTCTTTCCCAGCCTTTGATGAATCAAGTTCTCAGACAATTGTGCAATATATTTCAAAACCCTGAACGCTCTGGGAGAGGAAGGAAGCCTCCTGTCTGCCCCAGTGCTTAGCTTTGTTTTTAATATTAAAAATAGCATCGCTTCCCCGGCTCGGACTGCTTTTCAGGTGGAAAAGTAAGTTCAGATTTCTGTAGCAGTTTCAAATCGCAATTTCCTGAACTGGAAATGGTTTTCCTTGATGGGTAACTCCCCGCTTGACATTTTAGCAGGATTTGTTTGTCCCTGGGCAGTTGCAGGCGGTAGCTCTGAAGTTGCATCACTTCCCTCTGCATCGCTCAGTCTCACATCTCCAGAGCAGAAGCTGAAGGAGGCGCCGGGGCTTTTCCCCCGGCGACCTTGTGCAAGGGGTGACATCACCCGGAGGGGAGCGCTGGGGAACTTCCAAAAACCAAGCTCCTTTTTCAAGGAAAAGGGATCTGAGCTCAAGTCATCCCTTAAATCTGGTTTTGTGGGAAGCTCCCCAGGAGCTGCCGTGTGCTCTGCTGGTGGGAGTCCCCTGGAGGCTGCCCCTGGGGTTGTCATTTGTCCCCATCGCTGCAGTCGGGAGGTTTTTCCCCCTGTTTTACCCTCTTACCAGAAAAAGAGCTGGTGAGGAGCGGCAGCCCACACCAAAGGAACACACTAACCCCAGCGTGCCCCCGCTCACCAAGCAGAAATAGCCGAGTTCTCCGTCCCCAGGTGGAGGAGTTTGGTGGTAAAGGTGTCTTGTTAGCTCCAAAGCCACCCGGATCCGGGTGCGACCCATTTCTCTTGTAGCTGGTTCCATGTAAAAGCTGTGAATTAGTGTGCTGTTGCCTTTTATTTTTTATTTTTTTTTGCCTACAAGCCTGATGCTCACTTTTAGGGCCGGATGGTGTGTGTTTTAGGAGTGTGTCTCGGGGGGGTTCCTCTCCCCGGTTAAACAAGCTGGACTGTTGAACGGGACCTGCTTTTTGTGTCTGGAAATGGGAGCGAGTCTGTAAGCTGCGCTGGGAGGAGGGAGTGGATGGTTTCTCATTGTACAGTAGTGTTTTTATATATGGGATGTACAGATCCTTCGACAGACGTAATGCTTTTGTTACTTTAATAAAAATGTAGCAGTACCAGAGCCTTGTCGTCTTCCTGGGAAGTGCTGAGTGCTCAAAAAGGGTTGGGATCACGGCTGGGATCCCACAAGTGCTGGGGGCTTGGGTAACGCGTGGCTGGCTGCCAACACCCGGCTGGGAGGAAGAGGAGGAGGAGGAAGAAAGCTGCTTACTCAAGGTGCTGACTCGAAGCCTGACCCTCCAGCCCCAAGGAGCAGAGGGAATGTGGCTGACTAACCCTGGGTGTCCTGCCACAGCTCCTTCCCACGCTCATTTGGCTCTCCTGGGCTGGGCATTGGGGGCTCAGGGCGGATTTTGGAAATCCCAGCTCCAGCCAGGGCAGCGAGGTGCTAGAGCTGAGTGCCAGCTCCTCCCTGACACTATGAAGAACACCAAAAAATCTTGGCAGCAGGCGATTCGTGGCACAGAGGCGGCTCCTGGTTGCCCCCAGAGGAGCTGACCCCATGGGGTGGCACAAATCCTATTGCTGAGCCTTCCCCGCTGCCCTTCCAGGCTGAGTCAGCAGCCCCCGGGGCAGGAAGGGCACAGGATCAGAGGATCAAAATGTTGGGGACAGTCACGGCAAAGGCAGCTGGGGCTGATTCAGGACAGATCCTGTTTTGCTGTGCTGACTGCAGCAGGGAGCTGTGACGGGGGTGTCCACCTCGTGTCCTTACCCCCCCACCTCCCTGCTCAGCTTCAGGCTGACCTTATTTCACCAAAAATTCACCAAATCAGCTCAGGTGGGTGCTTGCTTTGGTCCCAAACATTTCTGTAAAGCCCAGGAGGGCTTGGATTGAAGCCTGTGGGGTCCTGGCCCCAAACCCCAAATGCTCCCAGGGCTGAGGGCTTCCCGGAGAGGAGCTGCTGCCGAGGGTGGGCACCCGCCACCCCCTCCCCTCCTGCTTTTATCGCGCTGAGCCTCCTCCAGGAGGAAAAACAATTTGCGGGCTGCTGCTGGGGCCGTGTCAAAGCCACTCCTTGTTCAACTCATCCCGTCATTAGTTTCCAGAAACACGCCCAAAATTGCTGCTGCTTGTGAAACCAGGCTGTTAGGGAGGAATGGGCGTCCCGCTCGGCCGCTGATTAGCCCGGCAGTCACGCAGGTTCAAAGGCTTCCTGCAGTCAGCTGATGGTGGCCAGACCCTGCCTGGCTTGCCCGGGCCAGCTTGCCACGGCCCCTGTTTGGGCCAGCACGGTCCTTGCCCTAACTCATGCACCCCAGCCCATTTTTGGGGCCGTAACCACGAAGGCTGGGCCAGCAGAGCTGAGATCCTCGAAACTTCGAGCCACCGGTAGCCAGGATAAAAATACGTCTCTTACGCAGGGCGGCGTTTAGCGAGGAGTCAGCTCCATGGCACAGCAACCAGACCCCCCCCGCCAGGCTTTGGATAGCTGACTCATCTGCTATTTTTATTTTGTTTGCCGGGTTCCTTCTGCTGGGATCGCGATACCTGGCGCTACACGCTGCGAGAAACCAGGTCCCCCCCCAAACCTTTCCAAGCCTTTTGGGGCTGGGTCTTAGCCCTCAGCCTGTTTGCCCATCACGAGGGTGCCGAGCACGTCCCCGGACCAGCTCTGGGCATGGCTGTGCTGTACCCCAGGGACCCAGGTGCTCCCCTGCGTGCCTGGAGCAGCTCCAGAAAAAATGGAAAATAAAGAAAAACGCGCCCACCTCTGCCCACCTCCTGCCTGCTGCAGTTCTGGCTCCTTTTCTACCCTGCTTTTTGCTGGATTTCTGCTGGGATTATTATTATTATTTTATTTTTTTTTTCATTTGGGTGTTTCTGGGAGGACAGGGAAGTGCCTGGCTCAAGGAACCCGGGTCAGATCGTGTCCCTGTAATCAGAGATCGGCGTGATGCACAAACGAGCACGCGTCCCTGACGTGGCCTCGGCGAGATCACAGCCCTTTGGCCCTGCTGGCACCTCCTGCAACCAGGGGGAAGGCTGAGTCCCCACGAGGTGACACCCACCTGGAAATGAGTCTCCCCCACCAAAACCCCTCCGTGGGCAGTGCCGGGTCGAGATTTTGCTGCCTACGGGGAGTGAAAAGGGTTTTCATGTCCTGTCCCCAGCGCCGTGCTGTGCCCCTGCTCGCCGTGCCAGGCTGCCCAGGCGTGTGTGTGTGCAGCTGCAGCACCATCTGCCCGTCCTCCAGGGAGCTGGGGGCGCGGGGGGCTGTCTGCTGGAGGAACACCCTTTGTGCAAAGCCCAAATCAGCCTCGGGAAATGCCCTGACCCGAAGGCAGCGACCACCACAGGACAGGATCTCCGCAGGTCCACGCAGAGATCTCGCTCAATTCACATCAAAACATGGTTGTTTTTCATGCGGGTGCATTTGTTTGGCTCTTTCCCAGGGCCCCTCCAGCAGCAGTTGGGCATTTCTCAGCTCTGGGTTATCAGAAAAGCAACCTCAGCAGAAATGAAACCGGGCGCCGCCGAGCCTCCTCCCGTGGCTCACGCAGGGCTCGGCCTCCGCCAGGTGCTTCCTGCCCTTTGTTTGCCAGCAGGGCGAAGGCACCGGGTTGGGACCGACTATTTCGGGTCGGGACCAGCTCATTTGGCTCAGCTGAGGCCAATCAGGCACTCGTGTGGGTGCAGCCACGCTCGCCTGTATCTGGGGCGAAGCAGCCGGCAGCTCGCTGCCCTGCCCCAGCCTCGGGGTTGGGAGGGGACGGCACAAGCTGCGGGGCACACCGGTGCCTGCGGGGTGCTGCTAGAACCCAAATGATCTTCCCAGGATCTGCCGGAGCTGTAGAAAGTTTGCAACCACGTGGCCCAGCAACGGGAAGGTGGTTTGTGGGCTTTGCAGGGGTTGGTGCTGCGCCAAGCCCGCGGCGCTCTGGGTGGCAGCGGGGCGGCAGGGCTGCGGCGTCGCCGCCCTTGGCAAGCTCGGGGCAGGGCAGGGGTCCCTGGGTCTTTTTTTGCACACAGGCTGCTGGTTTCGTCCCTTAGCAAGGCTGGCGGAGAGATTTCTGGCTGGGGACTGTGATCCTCACCTGCTCTTCATCCCAACAGACCGTCCTCTGCCTCTCCGGAGAGCGGAGGGACCCGCTCATGAGCTCCACACAGCCCCGACCCTTCCTGGCTCTGCTCTTGGACATCCCCAACAGCCCCACGCACACCAGCATGAAGGAGAACACCCACCACTGCCTTTCCAACCCTCGCTAAAAACTGAACCGAGACATGGAAAAAAAAAAAAAACCTCCTTCCCACAAAGGTCACCGGCAGACGCGAGCGCGTCGCGGCCGCCGCACACCCACTCGCCTCCCCCCACGGGGCGCAGCGCCCGTCTCGGTGCTCGCATCTCCGCCCTCGCAGCTCGCTGGGCTTGGAGGGGCTCCAAGAGCAGCCGGGGCAGGCTGCAGCGTTGCTTCGTGCTGACTTACCCTAAAAACCTTCCCCCCGAAGGAGCAAAAAGCTCGGGGCTGAGCCCCGTCTCCGCTCCCTCTCGCTCCAGCGCAGAGGCGCAGAGCAGGTCCCGCACAGAACTCCGGTTTATTAAAAATTACGGCAGGGAGAGAGAGGGGATGGGGCCGTTCCTTGCACAAAGGGGGAAGGAATCTGCTGCTGGTGCCCCGAAATCGTGCCCTGTGCACGTCCCTTGGCACGCGGGGCACTGGCATGGCCCCCAAAGGTGGTCCCCCTTTGAGGTGAACGCCTCAAACGGCACAAAAGTGGGGTCTGGAGAGGGCACGCCCCTACTGGGGATGGGACAACCCCACAGGACAACCTGCCTGGCCCCACAAGGCTCCAAACGCAGTGGGACCCCGAATCTCCCTGCTCCCACGGTGCCACCGAGGGGCTCAGGGTCCCAGGGGCTCACTCGCCCCAGCCACCTCCGTGCTGCATCCCCTGGGGAGAGGCTCCCGAGGTCCAGACAGATGGGCAGGGGGCGAGGAGCTGCTTTCAGCTGCTTTTTTGTTCTCCCTCTGCGCATCCCACGGGGAGAGCTGTCCCCGTCCCCATCCCTGTCCCCATCCGGGCCCCTCCGCGGCTGCTGCCCGGCTCCGGGGCTCTCATTTACGACCTGTTGGGGGATAAAAGGGGCTTGTTGGCGGCGGCGAGCAACTGGTGCGCGGGGACAACTGTTGCCATCTGTCTGCTGGGGCGGTGGGGGGGCCGCGGCTGGGGCTGGGTTTTGTTTCTCCTTTCATGCACCACTAAACTTTGCACCTTTTGTTTCCCAGCGAAGGGTTTGAGAGAGCCGGGGAGAAAAAGAGGCCTCCCCGCAGCCGCGCAGGTCAGGGCAGAGCTCGCTCAGCTCGCCGGGGGGATTTGCATACGATTCTTCTTAAATATTATAATAGTAATTACTGTTTTTTTTTTCAGGAGTCTGTCAGCATTGGGCAACCAGAACCCCTCTGTCCTCCCCCTGCGCCCTGGGGGCATCCCAGCACCGCGCTGCTGGTGGCATCTGATGGCAGCGGGGCACAAACCTTGGGGACAGGAGGCTGTGGGGACAGCAGCGGTGCCCTGTAAACCCCCAGGGATACCGTGTCCCTGTCCCCAAGGGTGTCCCTGTCCCCAAAGGATGCTGTGATTTTGATCCTGAGGGATGCTGCAGCCCCTGTCCCTGGTGATGCCGTGCCCCCTGTCCCGGTGGGATGCTGTACCCCAATTCCCAAAGGACACCGTGCCCTTGTCCCCAAAGGATGCTGTGCCCTGGCAGCAGCAGCAAGGCGAGGGCAGGGCGCAGGCAGGGCTGTGGGAGCAGCCGGGAGCGGCGCTCGCTGCCCTGGGGCATTTTGTGCTTCCTCCTGGAGCGGTGTCAGCGTCTGGGACGGGAGCGCAGCGCCCGGGGCGAGCCTCAGCCGGGCGTGTGAACCTCTCCGGGCTGCCTGAGCCTTCGTTCAGAGCCTTCAGCTCCTCGCTTTGCTCTGCTTGTGCCACGTCCAGGGGTCAGCAACAGCATCTGACCCCCGGCACAAGGTGCAAGGAGCAGCCCGGGTTCCCCCAGGCAGATGGGTGCTGCCCAGGGGACACTGGGAGGGACCAGGTTGGGGGACACGGTGCCAAGCTGGCCCTGAGAGGGGACTGTCACCTCCCTTGGGCTCTCAGTGCAGAGCCCGGATCGGGGTCAAGGTGTACAATTTTTGAGGGATGGGGATTTCAGGGAGATGCTGGATCCGCGTCCCAGCCTCTGCTGGATGAGAGAGGTTGGGGACCGCCGGGAGCTGTGTTATGGGAACGGGCCACGGGCAACAATGTCCCTAAGCCCTGCACCGTCCCCCTGCTCCCAGCTGCCAGACGAAGGGCGAGGCCCCTTTTCCCTCTGACAATGCCCTTTTACCGGGGAGTTTACGTCTATTATAGCACCAGATAAAACAGAGAAGGGGAAGGACGGGGCTGAAGCCGAGCAGCTGCCCTTGCTGACTGCTTTGGGGCTTTGTTCTGGCTGAAAAGGCTGCAGCCAGGCTGGGACAGCGGCTGCTGCTCCCCGAGGAGCGAGGGCTGGTGTGTGTGTGTGTGTCCCCAGCCACTGGGGGTGGCTCTGCGGGGGGAACAGCTGGAGTTTGCCCCCCGAAATTCCCCCCTGGGTGCTTACCAGGGGCCGTGGCTCCATTTCGGGATGTCACAAACACCCAGCGAGCGGAGCAAGGCTGAGCCTGCGCTCCCCAAACCCCGACCCCACAAAAAAAAAAGCTCAGCAAGGGAGGCAGTGGGACCACCGAGCCCCCCGGCCATGCCAGCCCCCTGCACTTTTGAGGCTGCCAGGCGCTGCTGGCCGTGGCTCGGGGTCCGCTGAGCCTTTTGAAGCAGAGACAAAGCCCGTCTTGATATTTACGGCACGTGCAGCGGGAGCGCGGGGCGCGCGGGGCTGCGGGACAGATGGCGAGTGAAACAAAAGGGGAGGCAAGAATGGGAGCCGAACAGATTGGGAATTTCCTGCCCGTCCCTCGCCCCCCTGCCCAAACACTGCTGGGGACGTGCGGGGCGGACGGGTGCCAGGTCTGCAGCACAGGGGGGCACTCGGCCCTCCGATGGCCCCCAAAGTGTTCGGACCGAGTCCCACCGTCTCCTCTGGCCTCCCCGAGCCCCCTAAATCCTGATCCCCCAAATCCCAGGCTCTATTTAACTCCTGGCGTGGAGCTGCGAGAGCTGAGAAGCTTCGTGTTTCCCCCAGGCCTCAGTCTGCTCCTCTGGGAAATGGGACCTCGAGCGGTGCCGGGTCCGTCCCCACACCCCCGGCGCGCGTTCCCGCTGCCTCGGCTCTTTTCTTATCTCTTCCCAGCAATGTCGCAGCTGCCGCGGCCCAGATCCAAGCGGCTTATTAATAATCAACTTTTATTGCTCGGCACGTCGCGAGCACGTCTGCAGCCAGCCAGGTGCAGGGGGAACATTTGTGGCCAGCCCTGCCCAGCCCCGGCCACGGGGTTCCTTTTGTCCTCGGCACCATCCAGCGGGCGAGCGAGCGCACGTCGGAGCAAAAAAATGGGGCCGTGGCCTCGGGGAGAAACCAGAACATTCAGACGGTCCCGGTCCCAACCTAGCCCGAGAACAATAAAGGTTTTAGGTTAAGGCTGGGGAGAATTGAGCAAAGGGAAGTGCTGAAGGACAGGACGCCGCCGGGTGCACGTCCCGGGGACACATCGACGGCGCCGTGCGTGGTGCTCACGTCCCCTGGGGGGCTCTGTCCCCCCCCCAAGCCCCCAGTGTCGGTGCTGGCCTCAGGTCGAAGCCACCCCTCGCCCGTTTCTTCTCCCCGGAGGAGGGGGTTTTGGGGGGTTGTTTTCAGGCACAAATCCTGCCCCTCCCGGAGCGGTGCTGGGAGCGCTGGAGCCGAGGGAAGCTTCGGGGGGGAGAGCAGAAAAACGGGGAGGGGGAAGAGGATCGCGGGGGGAGAGCCTGGGAAGGGGTTAGGGGTGCTGGAATGAGAGGGGACCCTGCTGTCCCCATGGGGCGCCCTGCTGGTTTTTAGGGTCTGGCGCAGAGGTGACCCCACTGAGGCTGCGGGGCACAGCCCTGGGGGGCGGGGGGGCTTCGTGCGGTTGGTTTGGGGCTTCCCCTCCTGTAGGATCCTGGGTGGGTCCGGACAAAGCCCCACAGTCGGCATCCTCCTCCTCCTCCTCCCCCATAGTGGGACACGGGCTGCTGGGGGGCCCCCCGGACCCCTCCCCTCCCAGCAACAGGAGGAGGAGGAGGAAGGGGAGGAGGAGGAAGGGGATGAAGCCCCCATCCTGCCCTCCCCTACACAGCAACAGGGCAGCGATTGGGCGCTCAGGGGCTCGCAGGACCAATGGGGTCTCCTCCTTTTTTTGGGGAGGGGGAGAAAGGAAGGCGCAGCCCCTCTCCCCTTCGCCTCCCCCCCACCCTCGGGAGGCAGCCCCCGGCCCCCAGCTGGTGGAAAGCGGCAACTGCAGCCGCGGGGGGTGAAGCACCCTTGGGGGGATGCTTTTGGGGTCCCAGCAGGGCCAGGTCCTCCCCTTGGTCCCCTGCACCGAGCTGGCTTTGCCCCAGCTCCTAGGGTGGGCACCCCTGGGGGCAGGGTGGTTCCCAAACCCTATTGCCAGGACCCCTGGGTGCAGGTCAGTTCCCAAACCCCACTGCTGGGGGCCATGGGGAGGGGGAGAAAAGCCGTGGCCACGTGTGATGGGCAACACCAGCAGCCTCAGGGACCTCAGCAGGCTGCAGGAGGTGGCGATGGGGACGTGGGGACGTGCACGTCCCTTTGGGGCTCCGGGATGTGGCCAAGAATGGGGAAGGGGCTGGAGCGGGGTCTTTGTGCCTCTGCCCTCATCTGGCTTCTGCAAGAGCCTTTCCTGGAGCAGGAGGCCCTTTCTGTGCACCCCAGCTCTCCAAAACTCCTTCCCATATGATTATTTTTTCAGCATTTTCCAGCCTGGCTGTTAAAAACAAGCAAGGCTGAATGCCGGAGGACGTGAAAACACCCAAAATACGACCAGCAGCACCGCCGTCCTTTCTCATCCTTCCCCTAGCTGGCAGCTTTCAGCCTGTTTTTTTTTCCCCTATATTTTTACACGAACCCCACACGCGGAGTGTTGGGGCGGCAGCTCCGTGGCACGGGGAAGGCAGCAGCCACGCATGCAGTGTCTGGAGCAGCCACCAGACGGCAAATCCAGCCCGGGTTATGGCATGCGGGGAGGTCTGGTCTGCAGGAGGGGATGCTCAGAGCAGCCCAGACACTCAGCCCTCGGCCTCTCCCTGCATTTTGGGATCCCTCAGACACGTTCGGTGCAGTTACAGAAAGGGCTTTATTGGCCGGTATGATACCTACAGTTCATGCGTCGGTGCTAGTACAGGTTTTTTTTTGGGTTTTTGTTTCTATAGTGTTAGCATGCAGTTTAAATGCAGAGGGTCGGGATGACCTAATCAGCTTTGCAGGTCATCTCCAAAGCTCAGCTGCCCCTTTGGTTCTCAAACTCAGCCGTCCAAGGAACCAAGGGGGTGTTTTGGCTCTTGGTGAACGGGGGCGTGCTGCTGACCTGTGGACATGGTGCTGCTAGATTGATTTTTAATGAGAGACCCCAATTAGTGGGGCGGGGAAGAGCTATGAGTCACACCAACGGGCAGGAGAGAGCCGGGCACACCGCAGTTGATTCACACCAGGATGGACCCTGCAGGCATGGATGAGCTTTTGGGGTTAGGTCCTGGGGTTTTACGAGCAGCAAAATCCCTCCCTGTGGTAAACCCAGGTGGATCCTGCCTGGCCCTGGCACCTCTCCTGCCTCGGGCCCGTGTTACACCAGTAATCTGGGGCATCTGTGGGCAAGGGGCGTGTAGAAAGCAGGTGATTTGGGCAGATTTGTGGGATGGGGGCTGTGTGCCCCCTGAAGACCCCAGTATGAGCCCTGGCTGCCCTCATGCTACAGCTGAACGTGAGCCCGGGTGCCTCTGGCTGCAGCACCCGGTGCCTGTGCCCAGGGAGGGGGCAGTGGGGGCGAGGGGCTGGCTTCTGGCACGACCCCGAGCTCTGCAGGGTGCTGGTGCTGCGAGGTGCCTGTCCCTCAGCCCCGGTCCTGGCCCAAAGCAGGGGTTGGGAGGGTTTCTCTCTGAGCTCAGCAGCTTAGGGCCGCTTGGCAGCAGCAGGAAGTTTTGGGGTTTCTCCCCGATGAGCTTTATGCCTGGGGCAGGAGGCTGGGGGGAAAGAGGGGAAAAAACAAGGGGAAAGAGTGGATTTACCCTTCCCCGTCCTAAAAAGAGGGATGCTGGCAGCCAGAGCACCTTTAACCTTTTACCCGTGCAGCTCTCAGGGACCACCAAAGCCTGGCCCGAGGTGAGCCCCGTTACCTGTGCTGGTTCTGCAGGACCCACACCTGAACCCCCCAAATGGGGCTGGGTTTTGGAGATGGGACGAGCTCTCCCCCTTCCCTCCCGTGGATGCTGGGGCATGGCCAGTGGGGGGATTCGTGCTGGGACCTCTCCCACCCTGCGTGGCCAGAGAGCTGGAAAGGGGGAAGGGGGAACATTTGGGGCTGAACAGATCCAGCCCACAACGGATCCTGTGGGCTTGGAGCACCCTTATTGCACTATTGCAGAAGCCAAGTCAAACCATCAAGCTGCATTAAAATGGGGAGTGAGCGTCCCCCCAGGGATGGGGGAGCAAAGTCCTGAGGAGCACGGGGAGGGGGATGACGACCAGGCTAGATCTCGATGATGGTGGCACGCCGCAGGCACAGCGGGGCGTCGGGGGGCACCGCGTTGCGCTTGATCTCGTTGCCGTCGAGCCGCAGGACCTGGAGCCGGGAGTAATTCATCACGTCCACCACGGTGCAGAAGCTGCTGATGGAGAACTCTGCGGGGAGAAGGAGACCCAGAGATGTCAGGGGGACGTGGTCCCACAATGGGTCCGGGGGCAGCGAGCCCGTGCCGGGATGGGCAGGGAATTGATGCAAGTGCCCCTAAATTTCCAATTATTCCTGCCGAAGCGGGCTCTGCGTCCTTCTGGAGGAGCTGTTGATGCTTCTGGCCGCAGTCAGGAGCAGCCTGGGTGTGCTCAGAGCTCTGGAGCTGGGGCTCTGCCAAGCGTGGCTGGAGTGCAGGTAGGAAAAAAGCACTGGGTGGTGGCAGCTGGGAAGCATCGCCCTGCAGCGGGGATTGCTGTTGGGTTTCATCAGCTCGACGAGCTGCAGCATCCGGACCCCCCCAGGGCACCGCTGGGGACCAGGACCACCCAGGCAGAGTGTCTGGGGGGGGACGACACATCCCTGTTCCTGTCCCCGTCCTCATCCCCTCTCCTTTCCTCTGCCCCCCTCTCAGGCCAGGCCCTGCCTGGGTTTGGAGCAAATCCTGATTTTTGGTGCCGGATTTGGGAGAGCAGCGACCGACTAGAGGGCAGCAAAGCTCCGGGCTGGGAGCTGCTGGGGAAGGCACTGGGGTGCACTGGGGTGCTGTGGGGCACCCAGCCCCAGTTCCCCAGCTGATTTGGGTCGCTCTGGGCTCTTTGGCTCCATTTTAGCATCTTTGGGGCAGAGGCAGGGGGATGATTTGGGTGGCAGGAGGGGGCGGCCAGCCCCGAGAGGGCAGCAGCATCTCCCCAGAGGCTGCGCAGCACCCAGGGGTGCAGGGGGTGCTGTGGGCACCTCGCCCCCCACCAAAGGGCTCCTGGGGGGGCTCCCAGGGCTGCTGCAAAGCTCAGCAGCAAAACCTTCAGCTGGAGCAGCTCTGCAGTCGAGCCCGGCTGGCTCCGCGGTGGTTTCATGGCATTTGTGGGCAGATATTAACAGCTACACGTTTGGAAAGCAAACATTTGGGAGTCTGCTCTTGTTTTCGTGTCTCTGTCGGTCCCTTGGTGCGGGGTTCTTTCCCCTACAACAGCCGACTGCGGCACAGCACCTCCCCAGCTCGGGGGCTTCAGCACCGCTCCGGGGGCATCCTGCCCTGGGGGCTGGCAGGTGACAGGGGCCAGGGTGGATTTTTCCAAGAGATGCAGGTTTTTTTCTCTCTCTCTTTTTTTTTTTTTTTTTCCCCTCTCTCTCTCTCTCTCTCTTTTTTTTTTTTTTTTTTTTCTTTATAAACAGCATCCCCGGAACAATCTGTTCCTTTTATTTATTTGTGTATTAAATGGAGCGGATTTTAGTCCTGGCAGAAGGCTCTCTAATAACTAAGAGCTCCTGTCTGCCCCGGTCCTGGCCAGGACGTGGCCAACAGCTGCAGGCAGCGAGGGGCTCTGGGGGGGGACTGGGGGCTTCCAGGGGCTGGGGGGCATCAGGGATATGGCAAGGGCTGGAGCCACGCTGCCTGCAGCTCATGAGGGGTTGGAGAACAAAGCAGAGGGTGTTGGACTGGGGAGAGCTGCACATGGAGATTTCGGGGCAGGAGGGGATGGGAGGAGATGCTCTGGCCCTGAGTGCTGCAGGCTGCTGAGCACCACAGGGTTTGTCCCTGGTCCCTTTTTCCCTGCATCGTCCCTGGTTTCAGAAACCCCAGCTGGTTTAGCGCAAATATGCTCGGGCTAAACACTCGATGGACCTAGAGCCGTGAATTTGTGCACCACGAAGCCAGCACCACAACCAACCCCCTTTCCTACCTTGTCGAGGACCACCTGGGAGGCCAGAAATCCCCCAAATTCCCCTCTCCTGCTCAACCCCCTACCACGGGTTCTGCCTCCCCAGCACCGCCAGCGCTCCTGCTCACCGTTGATTTGGTTCCCCTGGAGGTAGAGGTTCTCCAGGTGGGTGCTGACCCGAGGGATCTTCTGGAGCCTGTTGTACGAGAGGTCCAGCTCCAGGATGCTGCTGCTGTTGAAGGTGTTGGTGGAGAGCCCTTGGTTCGTCAGGCTGTTGTGGGACATCCGCACGTAGAGCAGCTTGGGGGAGACCTTGAAATAGTCATCGGGGATGGCGTTGATGTGGTTGTACTCCAGGTAGAGCTGTTCCAGGGCCATTGGGAGCCCGTCGGGGACCTTCCTGAGGTGGTTGTAGCTCAGATCAGCCAGGATCAAGGACTTGAGCCCTTTGAGGGAAGCGCCCATCTCAAAAATGTAGTTGTGGCTGAGGTACAGGGCCGTGAGGTTCTCCAGGCCCTCCAGAGCGTTGGAGGGCACCTTGGAGATCTGGTTGTAGGACAAGTGGAGCTCTCTTAGGGAGCGGGGCAGGGGGCTGGGCATCTTGGTCAGGTTGTTGTTGTTCATGTACAGCCTCTCCAGGTTCCTCAGCTTGGCGAAGACCCTCTTGCCCATCTTCTCGCTGGTGATCTGGTTGTTGTGCAGCGCCAGCCACTCGAGCTCCGTGGCGTTGTCGAAGGCCCCCTCCTGGATGGCGGTGATCTGGTTGTTCTGGAAGTAGACGTACTTCATGCGGGTGGGCACGAAGGGCAGGTACCTCAGGTTGCGGGTGTCGCAGTACATGGCCGAGGAGAAGTTGGGGGGACAGTCACACTCCTGGGGACACTGCCAGGAAGGGGCCTGCTGAGGCTCGGGGCCTGGCTCTGCCTCCGTGTCGGGAGCCGGGAGGTAGGAGTAAACGTAGGGGCTGTTCTCATCCTCGTAGTAGGGCATGTAGTTGTAGGAGGACATGCGGGACTGCCTCATGTAGTACTGCAACCACGCCAGGTCCTCCTCCTCGTTGTACTGGCCCAGCGAGGCCCCGCAGAGCGCGGCGATGAGCACGACCTGTGGCCCAGCGCATGGTGCGGGCACTGGGGGGACCTGGGGGGGGAACCAGAGGCACAATCAGGAGCAGGGCAGGGGCTGGGGGCAGGAGATGATGCTCCCTGAAGGGAACTGAGAGGGGTCGGGACGTGGGCACGGCCTGGTGGCACCTGGCAGCAGGGCCGGGGGAGCACAGGGGACCTGAGGGAATCCTACAAAAAGACCCGTGACTTTCATCTCACGCCTCTTCCAGGGCCTCTCTGCTCGCCCAATCTTTCCTATCGCTATTTCTGCTGCAGCTGGGCAGGGGACTGGGATGGGGGCCGTTTATTAGGGTTTGTGCAAGGCCACAGCTCTGCCCCAAAGGGTCTGGGTTCACCCAAGGCAGGAGAAGGACCGCGTCCCACCCCCACAATCCCACCCCGTGGGCTGACGGAGCTCGGGGTGGGTTTGGAGGCAGCTCTATGTTCTCTCTATTTTTACTGCACTCGCTGGCGACACGAGTCGCCGTGGGTTTCATCCAGCTCCCCCTGCCCCCACCACCACGCAGGATGCTCGGGACTGATGGAAATCCTGGTAAACAAGCTCTGGCTTATTCTGAAGTGGAAACCGCTTCGGAGCTGAGATCTCCCCAGCTGAGCTGCTCATCCTGGCCTGCTGGGGAAGGGCTGTCACCTGCTGTCCCCCTAGCATGACACAGGAGAGTGGGACCATCCCCAAAAACTGCCTGCCCTGTTTATGAGAACCGATCTGCCTGGGGCTGGAGGCCAGCAGAGAGTGGGGCTGGGTGCTCAGCACCACTCGAGCACCCCCCGGAGCCCCTTTGGCTTTGCGTGGGCTTTGCAGCACCACCCCAGGGCGCTGTGCTGGCAGGACGAGGACGCCAGCGACGGCCTCTCGTCCTTCCCCGAGCCTCGTGGCCATGCCAGCACGCAGAGCAACCCGCGAGCGCGGCGGCTTGAAATGCCTCCAGGAAACAGTCCGGGCCGTGCTGCTCGGAGGGGGAGCGCAGCGGAGGCTCCTGCCTGCTGTACACGTGGCCGGGAGCGCGGGGCTGCCGCCAGCCCTGCCGCTGCCACGGAGCAAACGGGAAACCTCGCTGGGTCTGCACCCTTGGGGCACAGCTGGGGAAAAAGGGGAAAAATGCTGGGGTTCGCTGCTGCTTCCTCCTCCTGACCCCACTGGAAGCTGCTGGGGGCTGTCAGCCAGCCCCTGTGGTGCTGTGGTGGTGGAGCTGGCTGTGCCCAGATTTCAGCCCCGGGGGTCCGTGCCCTCCTGCCCACCCAAAACCGTGCTCCCGAGGGGCTGGCAGGTCGCTTGTCCCCAGCCTGGCACACCCAGCAGCGAGGAGGGGATTTCTCGCCCGCAGAGCCCAGCAGACAAAGAGGGCACAGTTGTGCTCGGGGCAGTGGCTGCCCCGCCACCGAGGCACGCTGGCAGGCAGCTAGTGCTGGAAGAAAATGGGGGCTGAGACCGAGGAGGGCAGGCACAGCTCCTGCTTTCTCTTTGCAGCCGAGGGACAGGGCAGCCGTGGTCCTTTGGGATGCTGCGTGTGCGGCGGGAGCTTGGCAGTTGCAGGCGAGCTTCTTCTCCTCCTTCCTCCCACTCCAGGGCACTCTGCCTGGTGAAACAGAGCCGTCTGCTCCGTGCTGGGGCTGCTGCCTCTTCCTGGGGTCCCTCTGTATAGGGCAGGATCAAATCCGGGGCTTCCTCCTCCTTTCTCAGTGCCCCCTTCAGTGTGCCACCAGCCCCTGAGCCTGTTCTCGGCATCCACCCTGCTTTGTTTGGTCTCTTTCCCCTCCCCGGTGGGTTCAGCCCCACTTTTGGGTGGCATCTGCACGTGCCAGCCACGTTATCCGTGCAATCTCCCAGCCTCCACGCTTCTGTGCTGCAGGCTGCGGGTCCCATCAGGCCACCCAAGGAAGGAGCAAGGCTTGGAGCAAGGGGCACCAGGGGCACGAACCAAGCAGAGGAGGAGGCAGCAAAGCCACAGGGGGCTGCAAGCAGGCGCTGCACGTGCCCGGGTGTCGAAGGCGGTGGGTGCAGGGGTCCCGATGCAGGTGTCTGGGGAGCTGCAGCAGGGGCAGGAGCCACGGGGAGCGGGAGAGGGCACCCGGCCGCCGTGGCTCGCCAGCGCTGGCGCCCGCGCCGTGCCACCCGTGTCGCTGGCATCTGCTCCAAGGGGCAGCCGCCTGCCTTCCACGGCAGGGCTATGGAAATCAAGCCTCGAAAAAAAAAAAAAAAATTGTAATAAATATGGAGATGGACTTACCAAGCTGAGAACCTCCTTTCCAAAGCCTCGCTGCTCTGCTGCGGGATCGCCCGTGTGTCAAGCAGCATGTGAGTGCGGCGCCCGGTTTGCAAAGGCTGGTGCCCGCCCTAGATCCCAGACCAAATATTGTGCTTGCAGGTCACGGGCTCGGCAGGTTTTTTGGGGAGTGACCTAGCAGCAGACAGTTTGCAGGAGAGACTGAAGAGACCCTAATGCTGCCTGGCGTTATAAATAACCTGCTTTTTCTTTCCTCCCTCTCTCTCTCTCTCTCTCTCTCTCTCCCTCCCGTCTTTTCTCATAGGAGTGTTGGCACTTTTCAGGCTCTCTCTGTTTAACGAGTTAGTGGAATCAGGGATGTTGTTTTTAAAAGGGCTGTTGTTAGGTCTCCTGCGTTTCTCATCAGGAAGTGATGAAGAGGCCTCTGGCCAGATTAAAAAATCTCTGATTTTGAGGTGCTGAGGATGTGATTCTTGGGGAGAAGCGAGAAAGTATCTTTAACTTTTGCAGTACCAAGGGAAGGGACGTTATGCCTGCCCCCTGCTGCAGCCTGGGCTTCTTCCCCAGGAAGCCTCCGTTTATGCAGCCCTGCTATTAAATATTTAGGATAAACATTTCCATGAACGATAAGGCTGCGGCATCCAAGGTAAATAAATTGCCTACCAAAGAGCCACTGTGACAGCAGGAATTTGTCTTCAGCTTGGCAGGAGAGAGATGCCAAGCTGGCGTTTCTGCAGACTGTGCCCACCTAACAGGGATGGAGGGTCTCCAGTGAGGCTCCTGGGGGGGCGCAGGGGGTGTGTGTGTGCTGGGTGACCCTGGCTGGGGACACGGGAGCTTGCAGCACTCCCTGATACACATCAGCTGGGGGTGCAGAGCCCCTGGGGGTCCTGCAAAGCTGGGGGGCAGTTGGCACTGATGCAGCCCCCGGTCCCTGTTTCTGCATGCTCCAGCTTTGGCTTTTTGTCGAAGCATTTCCTCCTGCAGGGCTTGAGAAGGAGGAACCCTGCCCGCCCATCGCCTGCTGCTCCGTGCCCGGCTCCAGCAGCACGCCCAGGTCTGCCGAGGAGCCTGGAGATATTTAGCGAGCTTGGCAGGTGCCCGGCTCCCTCTGGGCTTACTTTTCTCCTCGCTTCCCATCGATATTTCCCAGCCAAAACATCCTCCTCCCCGGGGGAGCCTCGCAAAGATCCTTATCGATCCGCGGGCCTCGCTGCGAGGGGGAGGAATGTGCGGGTGGGTGGCGAGGGACGAGCTGTACAGTGGGGACGGTGCCAGGACGCGAGGCTGCTGGGGAAGGAAGAGAGTGCCTGGAAAGCACAGCTCACCGCGGGGCCCTGGGCTGCAGGCAGAGAGCTGCTCGCTCTGGGGCATTCGGAGAAATCCTGCCTTCGAGTGGGGAAAAAAAACCATGAGGCTGTGCTGCCCCAAAGGAGGTAAATCCCCGGTAAAGCAGGGAGAGGTTTGGTGCGCCCTGAGCCTCTGCGGGATTTAACGGAGCTGGCAGCACCTCTCTGTCCCAGGAAAGCAGCGCAATTGCAGCTTGCAGCGGGGCAGGGAGGCTGGAGAGGGGCTCGTGGATGTGTGTGGGGTTGGGGCAGGGGATGACCCTGCCGGGAGGGCTCTGCTCCTGCTGCCGGGGGGAGCGGTGTGCGGGGTGGTGGCAGCCAGAAAACATCTGCTGCTCGGCGCCCGGCTGGTGTCAACCAGCGTCACATCGCTGGCAGCTCGAGGTGTCCCGGTGGCCAACAGCTCAGGAGGCTTTTGCAGGGCTTGGATGTTGTTCTGGAAAAGCAAAACGTCCGTGGCTGGGTCAGATAAGGGAAGCGGCCTCTCTGCCTTCTGCAAGGCAAAACGGGCACCACGCCGGGGGAGGCTGTCTGGGGGGGCTGCAGAGCCCTCGTGCATGGGCTGGCTCTGGATGGCTCCGTTCCCCATGGTCACATCCCCCTTTCCCAGCAAAAAAAACAGTAAAAAAGGCCTGTTTGAGCTCATTTTTTCTGTTTCCCAGTCACCAGGACTTTCACCCAAGCTCATCCTGTCCAGCTTCAGTGTCCTCTGGGAGGTGAAAAGTTGCCCTCTGAAGAAGCACAAACACCTTTTTCTTTAGTTAACCCCAAAATCTCATGTCCCAGGGGGCCAGGGACCCCCCAGCCACTGCTGGGGCTTTGCTGCGTGGTTTTTGGGGCTTTGGTGGGAGCTGGTGAGACCTCGGCACCACTGCTCATTGCAGCCCACTGCAAAGCTTCCGCTGCTCTTCCTTGACTTTTGTGAAACCTTTTGGACATCTCCTTCTATAAACACCTCTTCCCTATCGCTGACCATTAAAAGAAAGCCCTGAATTGGTAACAGGAGCCAGCAGAGCTCCGTCCTGCTCGCCTGAAGCCCCTGGTCCCTATCATTGCCTCGTCTCAGCCGGCGCAGTTGCGCCGACGGCCGCAGTCTGCATCTCGTCAGGGCCAGACAGATGCCTGTGCTGGTTTGCTAAACCAAACTGATGTGAGCAGTGTCTATTTTGTTTGGGTTTGTTCTGGTTGTTTTGATCAAATCCTCTCGAGCTTTGCTTTTGGAACCACCGAATCTGGCCCCCGTTGGCCTTTATTTTTCAAACCCCGGGCTCGGAGCCGGGAGCGCTGCCTTCTCCACGGACCAGCGCGGTTTCGTCAGGCTGCTTCTGGCACAGGGAGCGAGCGCTTCGCAGCCTAAAAGGAATTAAAACCACCCGAAGCTAAGGCCAGAGCTCCTTCTGCCCTGGTGAACGCAGGGCTACGAACATGCCGTGCACACCCGAACCCAGCCGTGGCCATAAGCTGCTTCAGAGCCTTTTTACCCTTTTTACCCATGGAAATGTTATTTCTGCCTCTTCCACGTTTCCAAGAAGCTGCAGCTCTGCTCTGTGCTCCCACCCTTGCAGGTTTTTTTGGGTCCTGGTCCCCATGGGCTGGCTGTCCCACTGGGCTCTATGTGG